TTAAAGCTATATTAAAATTTTACCAGTCTAGTCCTTTCTACTAGAACCAGCATAAGTTTATAGCTTGGTAATGACCTTATTAAGCTATAACTCAAACGAGAGAAATGACCCCAGCCCCCATAGCATGAGCACCGCGATAAGGCATATCGCTCGTTATTATCACGCTCAATAGTCAAAACACTATGGAGTTTGACAGTTACATGGGATAAAAAAAACGTGCCATATTGTGGTGGTCATGCTACGGAGACAGGGCAATTTGTGGTGTCTCTTTCGTTTAAGATACCATTAACTCCCAGCGCCTCTCGGCCTGCTCATTTTAACTATGAATCTCGAACGAAATCTCCTTTAGGTTATAAGATCTATAAAATTCAGTATTTCTACTTAGCAGCAAACATCTTTAGTAAAACCAAATACAAACTTGGCATTTTTGTACGCAAAATTGCTACTACGCAGACTTCGTTGTCTATTGTTGTTGTATACCACCTACAAAATAAATTATATTGATTTTTTTAAATCCAAGAAATTAAAAAGATAAAGCAGCTTTCGGTTTTGTTTAACATTTATTTGTACATATGTATCTACCTAAAAAGAAGCTATATTATTATAAAACAATACCAGTTCATAATAGTTACACTTATGTAAATACATGCATACATAAGCCAAGAATACAATAATATAATGGGATATTAAAATAAAATTACATTCGATTCTCACCAAAGATATAAATTCTTAGATATAGAAACTAAGGAAATGGGTGTCAACTCTTGAGTTTTCCGAAAAATTACTGTTCGACATTTTCTATTATGATGAGGAAATAATTTTATATAAGTAAAAAAATGGTATATGAAAATTAAACGTACCTGGCTTATTGAGATCTAACAAGATATGATCACATTTAATACATCAATACGAAACAGCCAAAAACATTATATTTTAATACAATAAGTAGTCGAGGTTTTACTATTTTATTTACATGGCGGCCAAAAGGGCTCCATTAATAATGCATAGCGTATTGAACTTTATCAACACAAGACATTGCACGTATATGAAAAGACACGAAGTTCAGCTTTACACAGTCGACATAAAGGCCGAAAAACAATGAACATATTAATTCCTTTTGCTCACCATGTAAATTAACCTTACGAGTAACGTTGAATTCGCAAACTTATTAAAGAGATCCTAAAAATTATGACTTATAACAACGATAATATTATATTGGTGTTTTAATTGCACTGAAATCTCAGTCCTGAAGTCAGATTTCTAATACTATAAATAGAAAATGTAGTTTTTAAATAGAACTTTATTATTAGTACATTTAGGGTTAATTTAAATGTTAACTGTATTCGTACTTTATTGGCTATAAAGAACAATAATATTTGCGAATACATTAAAGACGGACGAAGCGAGAACGTAAGACTATACATATAGAATATAGTAAGTATATTATAAAGAATATTACCATAATAATAATTTATACCTGAATGAAAACCGGTCGAAGGCAATCGTTATTTCGATTTATTAAAAATGCATAATAAGTTACTATTTCCTGATCGAAGTAGCAATATCAACATTCAAGACACAGTGCTCAACATTTATGAATGCTGTTTTGAAGTTAGCCGCGAGTGTTTGAATACTCAATTAAAAGCACAAACTTCAAAGCTACAAACATAAATTGTAAGTTTATTTTAAAATTTACTTAAATGTATTTAGTATTGCGTAATTTATAAGTTAGCACGATCAACTGATTCAAATTATGCTTGCATAGTAATAATACTTATTGACAAAGTAATTTATTTACATATCTGCATACTTGAAAAGATCAAGAATTTTACTGCTTGCTGCTAGCTAGAAGAAGTCAATTATTTTTTTAATGAAATAGCACTCAGTTCTGCTCACGCAACTGATTAACTTCCATTTAAGTAGCTTTTATCATGTCATAGTTGCTATTATAATTAATTGGCTATCTCGAGGAAAATCAAAATCACTGTTTTATATACTAACATAATGTTTTTTTTAGTTCTTTCTTTATATACACAAAAATAATACACTTTTTATTGAAAAAGGATAATTCTACAATTAAAATCTAATAAATTATACAAAAATATTAATTTCCATAGAAAAAATTTAATAAATTTGTTCGTCTCACCTGTGTGACAACTAAATTCATTGTTAGTTAAAATGATCATAGTTTTAGATACTATTACTATGTTATTATACACATTACATCACACCCTAGTAATATAGTAGAATTGTATCATCTACTAATGTTATCAGTTTAAAGTTTCTCATACATTATTTTGCATACAATTTGATAGAATGGTTATACAGGTAGATGATAGCAGTACAATCTTTTAAAATCGGATCATTACATAAATAATGATTTCAATATAAAAATAATTTACCGTAAAGCAGTGTAATCGATTCTTTTGCCAGTATATTATTAAATTTTATTTTAATTAAACAAACACTACATGGACAATGAATTTTATAATTAAATCCACGTAAATCAACTCGTTTTTATGCAATAGTTTTAAACTTATCCCTAAAAAGTATTAATTTACAATTTTAGGACAACGTTCCAAACCACGTAATCTAATATACAAAAAAAAACAATGATTTATCATTCTATAATAATTATGAAGAAGACATATCAAATGATCACATTAGTCAGCAGTTTAACGTAAAGCACCTTTTAAATATTAACATGAACTAATCTAAACGCTAACGTTATTAATATAAAATAATAAATGCTCAAACAAAGGCGAAACAGTTCACAAACGCCGTTATTAACAAAATGGATTCAATAGAATCCACTTTTGTTCAACAAGGGAAGAACTGGCAAACAAAAGAAACCATATATATTAATGAGACTGCCCGTGCAAATAAATGTGCCACATATTGAAACTTGTATTGCATTTGACAGCCAATAACAAAATGTTATCGCAAAATTGCTATTGTGCTATCAACATTTTACATATGAGTCATATTACTCACCACTAAATTTTAATATTTATTTATCGAATCATAAAGGATCAAATTGACAAAGAATTTAAGTTTTAAATTCATTTGGGCAGCCTCAGTACAAGGCAAAACATCAATCATAACGTGCATGTAAAAAAATACACGAACAAGGTTATGCAGTGAAAACAGCGATATGTAAAAGCGCACAGTTCAAATAGTGCCAGGATTCAAAATAATAATAATAGGCAGGATATATTATTAAAAAGCGAACGCAATCTCTCATTCACACAGCAAATATTTTGGATACTACACTAGGTGCTCGGGACAAGGTGAACAAAACGCGGGTATCACTAAAACAAAGCGAATAAAACAACAAATCATACGACAGAACGGGGTAGGAAGTGCATCACGTCAAAATAGGGTAACATATCTACTATTTTTATTTGTTTTTTATCTTTTTTTTCTCTCTTTTTCTCGTGTCTAAAAATTGCGAACTATTTTACAGACAATAAAGAGTTTTTTTTTTTGTTTCGAGCTTTGGAACGCTTCCACGCCTGCGCTTACGCAGCCGTTCAAGTATTCCAACACTCTATGGACGCGCTCGCGACGCGAGTCGCCCAACTAACATTGAAATAACAAGTATCAGCTGACATGAATTACGCACTTTCAGCAAAGAAAAATATGTCAAAACACTACTAACATTTTTTCGACTTGCAACTAGTGAAATCAACTCTACTTGACCATTTATCGATTAGTTGTTTTTTATTTATTCGTTATAAAACCTCGTTAAGTTCGTCCACGAATGCACTATGTTTTTTTTAAATTATTATATCCCTATCTATCATCAGACACATTGTTATCGGTTACACAACATTTTCTTTAACTTTCACATTATCATATAGCCTGTATATGAGATAGAAAGTTCGAACGCTTTCTGCGTGCGATTGACAAATGTTATATACCATGCGTCAATTTCAAATATCACTGAACAAAGTAAACCATATACATAACGTATAAACGTCAATTGATTCGATAGATTTAACATGTAAACACATAACATACATACATTACTAAGTCCCATAAAGATAACATTACAGCAAATGGAATCGCAATATATAAGTAGAACAATAAATTCAACTTGTGGTATATTCAATATGGCAACCGCACCAGTTACAAAAACGTCATAAAAGGATTGCGTAACACGTTTTGTTTCCAATAAATCCTACGAAATTTACCTTAATTTAGCCAATTCTATAAATTAAATACGTTTTTTATAATTTTGATTCATTATTCTTCGATGACGGGTAACGCCCGAAGAAATACGAGTTGCTTACAATGTGATGTGTCGATCGATTTTTGTGGGGCGTGATAATGATGTGATGTCCTTACCAGATTTTAGCTTTGGCAATGTCTTGTACCGTTGAATCTTAGTACTTATAAGTGTAGCACCATCTTTTTCACGGTTCCAGTAAAACATCAAATACTTTGTTTGAAAAATACTGGAATGACTAGCTTGCACTTTAAATAGAAAATTCTGTATTTCTGTGTCCATATCATTCAACTGATTCGATTTTATAGGTAAACTAGCGACTCGTCGGTATGCATATCAACCTTCTTCTTGCATCACTATCTATTGATAAAGACTGCATTAAAATCAGTTGCGTAATTTAAAAGATCTTAGTTTACAGACAGCGGAAGCTACTTTGTTTTGTACTTTGTAAAGAAATGAGATATTGCCATTACTAAAACCTATACTCTATTCAATTTCCTTTAAGACAAGAGGAATATTAAAAAACAGACAAAGCGAAATATTATACGTATGGAAAAGTATGATTAAAAAGTCCTAAGCCCAAACTTTTCCCAAGCTTTGACCGCATAATAATACTACTAAATAGAAGAGTAGAGATAAAGAAAATAATTTACATTGAAATGCAAAATTTTGTAATCAGTTTGGTTACACCGGTTTTATCTAGAGTAAAGATTACTCTCGATAAAATAATAAAAAAACATTGGTTTATACTGCGACAAGGATCGTCATGATGGTGGCGAGAAATGGAACTAACGCCGCCGTATTTACAAACGTCATATTTTGTATGTCATTTACATAGACAGTGGCGCCCTCCCTGAACTATCAGTCACAATCATAAAGGTCCTTGCCGCACTGTATGTGTTTACCTTTTGCCTCAGTGAAAGTTGAATAGAGTATAGCAAGTGTGTTACCAAGCACGCCCCATTCGATAATGTAACGATGAGATTACGATTCGTTGTGTTCGCCTGCCTGTTGGATAAGAATGGTATCTAGAGTTGACATACTGTGAACTGCCCGCGCGCAGTGTCAGCACTACTCCTCTGCGCCAGTGTCCTCACTGATTGTTCCGCCCGCTCTTTCTTGGGAAATGTTTTGACCTGGAGCCGAACAATGGAACTGTCAGTCTGTCTAAAGATGGTGACAAAAAACTTTTTTTTTATAGCGAGGTAGGCAAATGACTCTGCCCCACCTAATGTTGAGTGGTAATGAAGACCAAACGCGAAGATAGCTGGTACAGCAGTTATAAACTGCTACACCAACCATCCTCACCTTGCCCGCCTGCAAAAATGCTTCTTCACGCCTCTCTTAAAGGACCCCAAAGGCTGTATTCTACACAACAAATTAGAAATAATATGGAAGCATAATGGCCGAACAGACTTATGTAACGCGACGCCACTCGACACCAAGCCACGCGTATTGAGTCAAATCAAAATGTACTATTTTCAGTGATCAGAATCACATTAGAAACATCTGACACGGCGCGTTGCGTCGTAGAAAATACGCGTCGCGTGGCGTAGGGTGGCGTCGTCGAGTTTCTTAAGTCTGTTTCTGTCTTTTCTCTCTAATAAAGGTCGCTAAAACATGATTCCAAACTTACAACTAAACTTCGATACTAACACGATACGTACACTTCTTAAATGTTTTATTTTGCCAACAGCATGTCAAAGATCGCACAAGCCGCTCTTCTAGGCCTGCGCGACCTATCGTTAGGGATTGCAATCCGGAAAAACGGATCCGGTATCATCAAACGTTTACCCGATCCGGTACAATATACTGGATCCGGTAATCGGATCCGATGAAAGCAATTTTTGGAAAATATTAGAGCAGTTGAATGAGTACGTACTTTAAATACAGTACAGTACTTAGTGAGCTTGTGTGGTGGTGGTTTACTTGGCTGCTATTCATGATTATTTGCTGACAATAAAGCCCACAAGTTTAGAAGCTGAAAAAGCCTTTTCGACAGCAGGCTATTATAGTTCCATTAGAAATCGTTTGGCGGATCACCCAATTAACATTATGTATTGTTTGGTAAAATCTTTTTTTTTTCATAATCAAAATTGTTATTTTAATAAATTATAACTTAAAATAAAAGTAGAATAATTAAAAGAGATAAAAATATATTAAAGCTCATAATTAGATAGATTCATCAAATCATGATGGTGCCTGTCTTAAATATGAAACTAATTTTACATATACAAATGATTGGTCTCCTTTCCATCAATTGAGAGACCAATCATTTATCTAAGACTAATTTTGTTAGCGTTTTCAAATACTTTGACATTAATGTAATCTCAATTATCATCTCAGAAAATTATATATTATTTAAAAGCAGGTATATTTTAGTACACTAAAATATGTATTTACTTTCAAAAATAATTGAAATATCATCTGGGAAAGAGAAACCTAGGAAGACTGAGGTAACTACTCATAACGTCGTTAAAATTTTACTATTTACCTAAAGTACTAGATTTTAATACTAGTACCTATTATACACTATTACCTATTATACAGGCTCGGCCTAGTTTATGTACTACTGTATTGTAAGTGCTATTTTATTGTATTTTTAGTTTCAAGTAGTATTGTCGCTGTTATTAGGCATTAAGAAAACAATTGTTCTGATTTAATTACGTAATAATGTTGGGGCAAATAAATGAATTTATTATTATTATTACTTGCTTATTGTCGAACGTAAAGTTGACCAGCAGTTCAGTTTGGACTCAAAAAAGCTCGAGAAAGCGAAAATCATCCATATTTGAATAGATTCGGCAGGATCCCGGTCCGGATCGATGGGAATCCGGTCGGATTCGTCCGTATTGAACTTGACGCCGGATTGCAATTCCTGACTTTCGTCTTACCGTCCACACACAAGCTCTTAAGGCGCTTTGCAGACGACGGGGCGGGGCGGGCTTTTTGTCCGCGAAGCAATAAAAACCGCGTCTGCCCGTCGATGTCTGCGGCTGCCCTCACCGCGTACACAAAGCACACGACGGGCGGAGGCAGTCAGTTCAGGACGTTCGTTCCAGTGAATAGTCCATCACTAAAAAGCGCGTGGCGCGGACTGAGCTAGCCGCCCCGCGCCGCCGCCTGCGTTACTGCATATAAACTGGTTTGTATGATCCACGGCGGGCAGCCGCGGACATGCCGCGCCGCCACTGCCCGCCGGGCACCTGCGGTGCGGTCTTTTTGCCCTCTGTGTGCGTTTGTAGTATAGGATTCACTTTGTGCTATCGTTTGCGGCGAAATTGACCGGCCCGCTCCGCCCCGCCGTCTGCAAAGCGCTTAACTACGCATACGGTGAGATCGCTTTCTGTACTGTCTATTTTCATCATCATCGTCATCATCAGCCTATTAACGTATCCACTGCTGGGGCTTCCTTCCCTATGGATGGAATAGGGAGATTGGGCCATGATACACCACGAGGGCCCTGAGCGGATTAGCGGGTGCTAACGACTGCAGATGCAGTCTATTTTGTGCTAAGATAATCGATAACTCACCCTTTTTCGCTGATGAAAGTATGCACTTCTTGCAGCTTATGAAGAAAAAGGAGACACGTTAGAATTGGGCGTGGAGGGCATCAGGTCCATCGTCTTGCACACCCATCCCGCTATGTCCACCTTCTCGGCGTCCGCTTTGCGTATCCATTCGTGATTCTATAAATAAGTTATTTTTTTACTTGTTTATTTCTCTAATGGTGTCGAATCTACCTAGAACTAGTGCCTATATTACAGGCTCTGCCTAGTTTAGGTACTAGTACATTGTATACTATTGATAAAAATCTAGTCATAAGAACATAGGTAATTACTTATTAGTTTGTTAAAATATGTAAATTCGAAGTATCAGTGGTCCATGTATCTTTCGTTCTGAGCCGCAATGCTGTTTTAACCCGTATAAAAGACTACTTAGTATTCACTTTCCTACGTCTTACTCTGGACACTTTTGTTGGGCCGTGTGGTGTCATAGCAGTATTGCGGTAGCAAGCGAAAGAAAGATTGTGTTTTATAAGTACCCCCTGTTTAAGTAGGTATACAAATTGTAAAGCTCATGTTAATTGCAATAAAGCATTATTATTCTGGCATGATTCTTTTAACCTTAACTTAAATTAGACAACAGTGTGTCGGATTACAAATTAAATGGCAGATGGAACGCACCGAGCACGTAAGTATGGCCACCAAAGCTAATACGGAGAGAAAAGTAAAAAAAAAATTGCCTTGTAAACAGTTTTTCAATAGAAAAGTTTACTAGAAAAAAATCCACGCGGACCAGGCAGCAGACGGGATTCGAACCCGCACTCTTCGCTATCCGGGCGAATGCACTGCTACCATTATGCTACAGCCGTGTCGAATTTTCTCTAGCCTTACGCTGCAAGGCAGCGCATCCGGGCGGATAGCAAAAGGTGCTGGCTCGAATCCCGTCTGCTGCGTAGTCCGCGTGGATTTTTTTCTAGTAAACTTTTCTTTCGATTTAAAAAATCTAGCAGTTAATGCTTCATAAATTAAAAACATATTTTTTGAAGCATTAACTATATCGTATACAGTCTTGATAAAAACTTATTATTCACGAGGGTATCTACAATACGACGCGTTGTAGCGTACTGACGCGAGATTGTATTCGCTTTTGACTTCGTATTTGCTTTGGTGGCCGCACTTCTTTTGGTGGCCATCTGCCTTTTGTTCTGTTATCTGAGTCCTTGTCATACTCTATACAGAATGAAAGGAGAGACTGATGTTAAATGAAGTTTTAAGTTTAGAGAATCATGCCAGAATTGACACCAATATATAAATGTAATTAGGTATATTATGTTAAATTTTAACAACCTCATCGACACATAATATAATAAAGGAGATTGCTCAAATTGGCCTAAATGCACAAAAAATATTGACATATACGGTAATTCTTGGCGTAATTTATACTTTATTTTACAGTCATTAGATTTTAACGGACACCTTTGTATAATATATTCATTTTAGAAAGAACTTTTAATTTTACCGGTTTGGAAAACATACGAATCATTTTTAATGGCTATGGGTGTAGTAATATTTAGCCAAAGACTGGTCGATGTTGTTTATATAACATAAAATCAAATCTATTTTGTAAAGATCGATATAATAAAACATTGTTTTATTACACTGTGGTATTAATATCCACAACTATATTATCATTTTCACTACATGCAAATGTGCTAATACAATTATTATAGATGGTAGGCGACATCATAAAGTCTATTGCCATACATTTTTCGCCAAACACCTCCATAAACACATTATTAGGTGTGATACACTAAAAATCAAAAATATGGTTATAATATAAACATAACAAAAATAATGAAGCTACTGAAGATATGGCTGTATAACCTAAATCTCTTAGCTTTCTTTGGTTAACGAGAGTTTAAAAATTCTCTCTAATCTGTAGCTCATTCACAACCATCACACAGCTGAACGCACAAACCGTTCATGCCATAAAAAAAGAAAAAGAAGAAGAATCATCACACAGTTTCTGTCACATAGTAAGTATTTGGTGGGTTCTTATGTGTACATACCATTAAGGTCTTTAAATCTGCTCTTTCGTCAGGATTCTTCTTCAAACAGCGGTCGACGAAGTCCTTGAATTCGTCGGAGAAAATTCCCGATGGTAGTTTCGGCGGTGGTTCATTCACTATGTAGTCTAACAGCTCGAATATAGCCATTGGCCGAGGGGAGTTGGGTGCCTGTGACAAAAAATTAGCAGACTTTTATTCATGCTAGCACTGTAAATGCCTAAGTATTTGTAAATTTGACACACTAACTTCAATAATAAACCTTTACTGTGTCTGATTGACGTGTTAGTTTTAAATAGATCTGTTCAGAATTCAGAAATCATTGATTCTAAATTGTGTTTGTACTAAACTGATTTCTCACAAACTAAAGCTACCTAAGTAGTATTTGCGAAATTGAAAAAACACAAACAAGCCCTTAAATAAAAAAATGGGTGCGTGTACTTATGTAGGCGCGTGAGAAGTTATCCTTCTTTGGCATCGTTTAAAATTAGTTTTTAATTGCATGCAAATAATTAATTACAATAAATTAATAAAAAGTCTGGAAAAGGACACAGTCAATAAAGTTCAGTTTTAATTTGAAAAAATAAATAAATAATCAAAATATTCAATTAAAATCGCTACTGAATATAATTTATTAGAACATATGTGATTTGCACTTGTATGAAACTCAAACACGTATTCCGAATATACAAACTAGAAACATGTGGATAAATATTATAAATATGAATACCTATAACTGTTACTTTATTACAATAATAACATGAAAGTATCATTGAAAAATAAAGATGTGGTTTTTGGTTCTACTACACCAATGGTCAAGAGATGGCGCTGTAGTCTCCTGAATCGCGCTTTGGTTCCGTTGTTCCAGATTAATAAATACTTTTGATAGGCCTTCACAATGCAGTGGCACATTGTGTTATTTCACCTCAAAATTACCACTCCCTTGATTAAAGGTGAATCAGATAAAGCTCTTCATTCTAAGCGCAAGAGTGAAACTCCCACGATTCTAACTATAATAGTTTCGACGAAATCCCGGTTTTTCTTTTTTTGTACCACATTGTGAAAAAGAAATAAAAAAATTTTTTTGTCTAAACTATTACAGTTATTTTATTTTTTACATTGTATTTCAAAAGGTATTATTTTTATCCATATTATGAGTCTTCTATGGCTGCCCTAGAGCTTGTAGGAACCGAGAAATCGGCGATTTAGTGATTTTGGTATTTAATTTTTTGTGCTCATGTTATGCAATATTAAAGCTTATAATTTAGTTCAAAGTGTAGCTAATAATGTAGACTATCAACTCAAAAAATAACAAGCTTTAACTCGGTGGTATATCGGAAATATTAAGAATTTAAATTTGTGGGACAATGTCCCACTTTTTGAAGACGTAGTTATTGTACTTTTTTGCAAGTATTAACATAATTGGATAATGTTACTCATCAAAAGAAGTACTTGCTATCTTTAAATTTTTTTGCGCTGTATCATGGTGTACGTGAAGCTATCGAAATTTTGTTTAGATTTTCACGATAATATCTTTTTCATACTTATTCTTACTGGGACGATATTTTCTAGCGTATTGATGATGGAGTTGGCAAGTAGCCACAGAAACTCTGTAAGGAAAAGATATGGGCAAGTTTATTTGTGTTTTAGTTAGTTAACTAACTGATTTTGTTAATTTGCACTTAATAGGGAAGAACTTAATGCCTGTGTGCCACATTTCATCCAAATAAGTTGGCCCACAAAAGTGGATGATTATGTAACAAACATACCAAACACATTTATAATCTTATATAAATAGTAAATAATATAATAACAACGTATTTATATAGTTATTATAGTATAATATTTAAAAAGTAGCATAACTACGTTTTCAAAATTGAGTGTTCAAAATGTGGGACAGTGTCCCAAAAATTTAAATTCTTAATATTTCCGATATACCACCGAGTTAAAGCTTGTTATTTTTTGAGTTGATAGTCTACATTATTAGCTACATTTTGAACTAAATTATAAGCTTTAATATTGCAAAACATGAGCACAAAAAATTAAAAACCAAAATCACTAAATCGCCGATTTCTCGTTTCCTACAAGCTCTAGGGCAGCCATAGAAGACTCATAATATGGATAAAAATAATACCTTTTGAAATACAATGTAAAAAATAAAATAACTGTAATAGTTTAGACAAAAAAAAATTTTTATTTCTTTTTCACAATGTGGTACAAAAAAAGAAAAACCGGGATTTCGTCGAAACTATTATAGTTAGAATCGTGGGAGTTTTACTCTTGCGCTTAGAATTAAGAGCTTTATCTGATTCACCTTTAATCAAGGGAGTGGTAATTTTGAGGTGAAATAACACAATGTGAGTCGTTAGCACCCACTAAATAGAGATTCTATTTCTATTTTGTTGGTAAATTTTCTTAATGTGCGGTAACTGTGATGCGCGTGCATCTTAAAATTTCACTCTCATCATTTTTTCAGAACGCGCCTAAAGAAGTATAACTTCAAAAAGAAGAAAATTTGACAGTAAAAACATGCAAGAATGGATATATGGTGATAGATGGTGTCTATATTTACGACTATAATGCCGGCACTTTACTTGGCTATTCATGATTGTTATTAGTAAACTTGAGATAAGTCTGTCCATGAAAAGGACCTTATAAAGCATGATAGACTGTTGTCAAAGATTACAAATAGCCAATACGAATAGCCAAGTGAAGTGCCAGCATAAAATACATCCATTAACCATTATTCGTCTTATTGTCACAACAAAAGGTAGCATTATTGCCTCCTATATCTTTATACAAAATTCATCAAAACTGCTACATTTGTTTAGGCGTAAAAATATATAAGACTATGTAAGTCGTCATTCTCTACCTTATCTATTTAATAGGACAAAAACAATATGATTTAACTCACTTGCCCAGGCGAATGGTCTTCATTCTGTCCGCCGAAGATTGCGGCTAAAGTTTTCGCATCAGGCGGCGGTATAGGATACATGCCGATAGCCATCTCAACGAGCGAGAGGCCCAACGACCAAATGTCAGACTGCACTGAATAGTGGGTGCCTTGAAGACGTTCAGGCTAAAAGAAACAATACTCAACATAATTTTAGAATCAGATATATTATTATGGTCTGCGTAACATAGATTTACAACTGCATCTAGTAACGCAGACGACGGATTAAAAGTACCGCGTACAAAAATTCCCCCGAACAACCGAGGACCCTGAGAGACCGAGGTCCCCCCAAAAAATAGAATTCATATGATTAGGCGCAGCGCAACACAGAGATTTTTAGTTATGTTTTTACATATTTTTAAGCATTTAACTGCTAGATGTTTAAATCTTAAGAAAAGTTTACTAGAAAAAAATCCACGCGGACCAGGCAGCAGACGGGACTCGAACCCGCACTCTTCGCTGTCTGGGCGAATGCACTGACCATTATGCTACCGCGGCCCTGACGGCCGCGTCGAATTTTCTCTAGCCTTAGGCTGCATGGCAGCGCCATGTCTTCGCATTGTAAATAACCCACAATGTCAAATGAATACCTTGACAGGTATTAAACATTTAGAAAGAAGAAATAGCAATTATAGTTATGTTTTTATTTTTTAAACATTTAACTGCTATTTGTTTAAATTAATGTATTTTAATTTTAGTAAACTTTTCTTTACATTTAAACAACGATTTATAGTTCGCGTTCTATCTGATTTCAAGTGGACCCAGTACTGTTGACCTGAGAATACTTATTTCCATTACGTACGCTTTTCTAAATTTTCGGGGGGAAAAAGTTCGCACATCGTGTGCTTTGAGACCATAACAATTCCTCGGGGGACTTCGTCTGCGCAGGCCATGAGTGTCGTGCTGGAACACTCGGCTGTTACGAAGGTAAAAAGTTACGCTACGAAACATCTGACGGTCGTGACGGAAAATCTTAAACTCGTTTTCGCCTATCCCCCATCCGCCAAGTTCGTACCGCGCGTTATGTTCGTTCCAATAATAAAATTTGTATACGCGTTCTGAGATGCGCGAAGGAGCACTGTACTTGTGTTACCCAGTACCACCATACTGCTCAAATATTATCATCACTTTAGCTTAATAATATCCCTATTGCTGGGGCACGAGACTTCCCTAAGGATGGAATAGGGAGAATGAGTCATGACCCACCAAGTGGGCCCAGGTAAGATTGATTGGTGCTAACAACTGCTAATGCAGCCGCGGCAATGAATTAACGTGACTTCCGAAGCACAGAGACAGAAATAGTGGTAACATCGTTGTTCTCACGACAATAAAACGTCATGAGGAATCATGATGGTAAACCATGACTCATTTCATGGTTTGCCATCATGATTCCTCATGACGTTTTATTGTCGTGAGAATCTGTCATAACAGCAAAAAATCCTCATGGATTACAATAAATCGAATGAAGTTACGACCCGACGCAACATACAGTAGGTTGTATAGGTACATTAACAAATAAACTTGCACAGTAGACGTTGCTGTATCTAAAACTGGTACTGTGCTGGTTCCATTTTCTTTGGTTCATGCTAAAGAAGTTTATCGGGTTGTATACTTACCGACATATAACTTCTGGTTCCCACAAAGGAGTTCGCCATGGAGTCGATCAGTTGCCCTGACACACCAAAATCGCAGATCTTGATCTCGCCATTGCTGTTCACGAGAATGTTGGACGGCTTCACATCGCGATGCATTATGGCGTGCTTATCGCGGAGGTAACTTAGGCCTTTCAATACCGCTGAAGTTATTGTACCTGAAGCAAATGGGTAGTTTATAAATTTATTAATAATTTAAGAAGGCAAATTTTATAAATATAAATTATTAAATATGAACCAATAATTAACCTTTTCATTTTGTATAACAGAGCATGCAAGCATGTAGCATGATGAGGATACACTGTTATGAAATTAAATTTTAGGTTTAGAGAATCATGCCAAAATCAGGCCCTTTATATATTATTTTAGTCATGACATGACTCAACCCAAAAATATTATAGGTCCATCATGGTCATACTTGATTGTCAAGATCTGTAAGAGCCCTTACAGCAGGCGACACATCAAGACGTCGACATAACGACGCAAGTTTCAAAACCAATCTGGTAAAAGTCGCGCGATGCTTGCTATTATGGAGCAGACAGGGACTGCTTTAAAGCATGTCCAAATATAGCATGATTATATAAGGCGCAAAAACCAACTAATCACAACATGGCCCCATATGCAGCATATACATTGTACTGAATTGATTCTAAACCACAAGATTATGCTGCTTTATGCTGCTGCTACACCATTGTACTTTTGTTGTTTGTACTGTTACTGCCTAAGTGGCAAAAATATATTGCAATGCAAATGAAAATCCATATATTTTTTGTTTCATGCTGCTGCTACACCATTGTACTTTTGTTGTTTGTACTGTTACTGCCTAAGTGGCAAAAATATATTGCAATGCAAATAAAAATCCATATATTTTTTGTTTTTTAAGTTTTCATGAATACCACTCATTAAATAAAACACCCTTAAATGGGTTTAAAATTCATCTTTTGTTTAGCATCTTTTTCAGGCTATGTTGTCTGCATTGTTTTTTTTTAACAAAATATTTTCATTTTGAACCCATTTAAGCTTGTTTTATTTAAATATCCTTACTGAGAAATCCTTTAAAAAGCCTAAATAAATCAAAACAAACTTAATAGTTTGTATTTATCAATAGGCTAAGCAGCTAATCTTCACTCATTTACCTAGAATTGATTCAGGTATTCTTCCAGCCTTTTTTAAGATAAGATCTAGTGATCCACCATCCATGTACTCCATACAGATAGAAATTTCACCATCACTATAAAAGGCTCCATAGAAACCCACAATGTGTGCAAAGTTACACTCGTGAAGAACCTTGAGCTCCCTGATAATCTGTTTCTTTATGGCTGGTTTTACTTCTAGGTGTATCAGTTTTCTTGCCATAATAAGACCCGTAGACTTGTGGCGAACCTTCATTACCACACCACCATTGCCTTGGCCTAAAAAAAGCAAAAATAAATTGAAATCTGACTGTTCTTATGGTAAGGTTATAAACCTACAAAATCTTTTTGCTTAAAGGGTTTGATAAATAAGTAAGCTTAAAATACTTTTACTAAATAGCATGTACTCAGTGCCATCTTTGTCCTATTAGAGGCCCTGGGCATATTAGGATAATGGGGTTTATATGACTTCCGTTTGGTGATTTAACAGGAGCTTGGGATTTTGTATTTGATCTGAGGGCCCCCTATTGATCGCGGGGCCCTGGGCACTTGCCCAAAGTGCCCACTGGGAAAGACGGGTCTGCATATGTACTGAACTGAATTATACTGCAAATTGGTTTGATATTATGTCCATAGTATTATTTTTATACAGCTTTTTTTACATTAAGGTAAGTATTTATTTATTAGAGTTCATAAATAAACACTTCAGTCTCAATTTGACAGCTAAAGTACTACTTGGTAAAGCAATAAAGAACTATATTACTTTTATGTGAATATCTTGCCCCTCAAGGTAGATTTAAACTACAACTAGAGGTTTCATTGTGTTGTATGCAATTAAAAGATTATACAAGACTGTATCAAAACCATTGCTTACCTAGTTCTCCCAGTTTTTCAAAGTCATCATCGCTCAGCTCCCCAATCTTCTCTTTCTGGCATAAGAAGACTTCAATCCTGCGTCGTTGTGTATCATCCATCTCAATCTGCTCGAGCCTTTCCGTCAAAGCCTCGATGCTAGTCTTTGACTTGCCAGCCAAACCCTGCCGCCTATATACCCATTATTATTAGAATTAATATACCTCAATAGAAGACCTGTGCCCTAACAGTGGCGACATTCATAGGCTGATAATATGAAATCAATTTAAATTGATAGAGTACACAATGGGTTTTCTGCTAGACTTAGATTTTAACAATCTCCACGTCCGAGTGGTTTGTATGTCGGGTTTCAAGGTGTCGCTTACTCAAGAAGTCCTGGGTTCGAATGCCGGTTGAGAAGCCTGTATGGATCTATACAAAATTCAAACAACAAAAAATACAAAGAAACTTTGAATGATTCACCATATGACACTAACCCAAGTCATCTTAAAAATCCAAATCAAAACAAAGTTGCTTACTCCGTAGCAGTTGCTGACTTCAGCTGGGGTGTCATATTCGACGGGGTGATCGCCGGAGCTGTGTCTATTGACCCCGGTGGAAGGGTGAGGTTCAACTTATTTTTCGACATCTTACTCATGTTGGCATCACTTCAAAAACCACATTCACTGAATAAATGTCACACTTTTCTGCTACATGTGTAACACGAAGTATTCGTAAGTTTCAAGCGACATAAATATAAAAAGTTGCCGAAATATAGGCAGGCAAACCAAATTCATTCAAGATTTTTGTTCACAGATTTCTGTCAAGATGAATTTGTCAATAGCACAGATTTTTTTTGTTTGTTTTTCGCTACTCAGGAAAGGCAAGGGGAACAAAGCCCATACAGCCATTGTCTTTAGAGGATATAATTCTCTATTATATTATATTGACTTCTACTTAGATACTACGGTCAATAGCGCAGGGATGCGTGCGTTTCAAACCTACACTCAAGGTACAACAAATGTCTGAATTCTGACTTATGCTTTATACAGTATTTGTCAAAATTACAGTGCGACCAAGATCTTTGTGAATGTGGCGAAAATTGCAATTTTATTAAGGCCGCAGTGTTTGTAAACGTCATACTATGTCTATGGTAAACGTCATCTTTTGTATGTCATTTAAGTAGACAATCTTGCAGACAATGGTGCCAATTTTGGCGTGATTCTCTAAACTTAAAACTAAATTTAACGTCAGTCTCTCCTTTTCATTCTGTATAGAAAATGACAAGGATATACTGCTGTCAAATTAAAAGTTTAGGTTTAGAGAATCGTGCCAGAATCAATACCAATAACGCCCAAAAGAACTGTCATTCACATTTTTATAGATCTTGGTCGCTAAGTTTTTGGCTGGATTTCATCGAGTGCGGTTGGCGTCATATTTTAATTATTCTTTAAATTCATTCATAGTGGATAATGTGAAATAAAATTGGTGTGATTTGTGTAACAATCGTCTGCGCAACTGAAGAACAGTGACGGCGCTAGGCGTCGGTGACGTCGGCCACCGGCGACGGCCTCGCGCCTGAGGAGGCCTCGCAAAAAAATTACCTATTTATTGTCGTTTCTTCGGGCTTGGCTTAGGTAGCCGACCCCGAACAATTCGGGGGAAAAGCTAAGCAGATGATAATGACTTTTATTAATTTCGAACACGTGCGTGATGGAAGCGAGTAGTACTTTACGAGTATTCAAAATCGTTTGTCTGGCAACACTATAAATCAACAATAAAACTCGTTTACTCATACGTTATTTTATAATTTGGCTCACTTAATATAACGGTTTATTACTGCGAAGTAAAATAGGCCTCGCGAACTTGATGTCGCCGACGTCCACATGTGGTCTAGCGCCCCGCCACTGCTGAAGAATGAACGGAATCTTTAAAATATTCGCTATAGGATCGATCGGTCAAGTGGATGTGAGAACTTTATTGTAGTGATGAATATCTCACAGAAGCTTGTCGAGAAAGCTTGACTCGATACATTTTGTGCCAAATACTCCAAGAAACATTAGAATGCGTCACACCCACATTCTAATGTAAAATAAAGGAAGATTAATACAAAAATAAGACGATGGCTGCATGGCTTTGGCTTTGCCTTTCCCATAAGGGGAGAATGAAACTAAAAAATAAAGAACTTGGTCGTGAGTCCGCATTGTAGAGTAGGGATGTCGAAAGTTGAAAAAAATATCGATATATCGATACATCGACATTTTAAAAAAATATCAATATCGGCTTCGATATATCGCGGAAAAAACATCGATATATCGATATATCGGACCAATTTTCTCAAAAATATATTTAGGTCAGCCTAGCACAGTAATAATAGTTCAATACAAATTATAATTAAAGAAATAATTATTACAGTACGAAATTGCCGCTACACTACATGACAGTACAGTATCTCACGAAATATGACACGCGGAGTAATAATGGAACGAAAATTATCTCCCTAAAAATAGACCCTATTTCAGAATGATGAAAATGATTGCAGGGCCTCTCAGCTGCCATCTTTCGTAAACAAGACTAGACAGTCACACACTTCCACAGAATATATTAGAAATCAGCACAACCAATTCACCAGCGAAACAGATTTACAAATGATAGACAATACTAAATACAGCATCCAGTCCAGATCCAGAGATCCAGTCACGATCACAGACATATAATACTATAGCAGACGGTGCATAAAACCTAGTTATATTTATGAATCAAAACATGATCTTTTATCCCTTTTGTACTCAGCTACAACTCGATAGTGGCATCTCATTCTTCCATCTATTGCAATACTGACTCACACATCAACAAATGTCAACGCGTGTCAGTTTTATTCCTCGCCGCCATTTTATTCATGACTTATCGGACATGCGACTTTTCGATGTTTATTAAGAATAAAGCTTTGATGAAACTGTATTACAAAACGAGATTATTCAATTACTATGGTCAAGTACAGTGCGTATCGATGTGAAAGTGCTATCTACAATAGAACACCAGGATTAACGTTTCATCAGTAAGTTTTTATGTGTCTTTGTTGTGTACTGAAATGTCTTTGAGTCTTTTCGAAGCTTATTTAAATATTATCGTAACATGTAACATTTTTTACGTAGGATTATTTATCTAAGATACTACCGGTGAAAACTAATATCCTAAAGTAAAGAAATAGAAGTAATTAGGATAAATCATGATAGGAAATTCCAATTCTGACAACTGAAGTACTGTTGCCTTAACAGAGGACGGACTCGGTATCAAAGACAAAAAGTTTTTCGGCATTAATTTTGTTTGCATTGCATTGTATTTTGAATGTGAATGCAATCAAGAACGTAAATATATAGGTACCTATTACAGACTACCTATTCATATTTCTTGGAACATTGGCATCGGTAGGTATATTACCCAAATAACCACATAAACAATTTTGTTCTAGGTTTCCAAAGGATGAAAGTACTCGAAATGCATGGTTATTAAAATATATGAAACTTCAGGATTGGCAACCAAATACTTATAGTGTTAGTGTTTTTTGTTTTAAAATAAACAAAAGTAATGATTTTAACAGTTTGATTAAATTCATTTCATGTGATTATGTCTATTATTCAATATTTGACTCGAACAATCCAGATCATGACATAAACCATGTCCACTTGCTTATTAAGGTTGTTGTCAAATTTTATTTTGATCTTAGATGTAAACATCAATGTAAAGAAACAAATGTATCTCAGAGAAATTTTCTAAAAAAACTTGTATAATTTCAAAATTAAATAGATAAAAACTATGCCTTAAATTTTTATTTCAATTTTCCTAATTGTACCTATGGCCTTTCCATGGGTTAATTCTATCTCCGTGCTCAATTTCATCATTATCGGTTCAGCGATTTCGCCTGGCTAAATTCGCTATGAAGATATTAAACAGACAGATTTTTACATTTATAATATTATTAGCATGGACATCACATTAGGACCATCTATTCGGATAGGTATTTCATGAAACAATAATGAAATCCATTATTCTACTATACTAAATGCGCCCCATGCTTTGGCGAGTTTCAATGTGTGTGTATTTGCCACGCTGTTTAAAACTGAATGTTCCGTCTGCTACTAGTTATATGTCTGTGGTCACGATTTATCCAGATACTAGTTAGATCGTAAGCCGCTAATAATTAAAAAAATATCGTTTTTGATACGAATTTCGATATAGGTTATTTTGTATCGATGTATCGATATATCGAATCAAAATATATCGGCAAAAAATATCGATATATTTTCAACAAGCCTATTGTAGAGTAATATTGTTCTGTGTTGTAGAACGTCAGAGTGAAAAGTTGCACTTAGGGATGGCGATTCTTTGAAAGAGGGATTTTTTAAGTCGTTTCGAATAGAAACCTAATGCATCGATTCACAAAAAAAATTGAGTCCAAAGATCTTTTATTTAAGTTTTTGTTTATAATGTAATATATACCTATTTTATTTAATAATATTATTATCAGTAAAGTCAAGTAATTCCATGATAAAAATCTATTTATTCAAAGATTACAAACGTAACTTTTTTTATTAAATAGGGGCGAAGGAATCCATACATATAGCCATCTCGGCAGTTTTTGATTAATTAACTCTTTAACCAGCAGCATTCTTATAATACGGGCACATTCAATAAATTGTTAAAACTTTTTTGGTTTATACCAAAAAATAAAATAAATTCGAATGTCGATTTTCAAGGGTGAATTGTGATTAATAAATCTCAGATCGCCATCCCTAGTGGCACTCGGAGCGTAGAAAGTTTTAGGTTTGGAACAGCGACAATCACAGATTAGAGAGATTCGACCGCCCCGTTTCCTGCTGTTCAGCTTCATTTAGCTCGAAACCTGCTTTATGGAAATTGTTCCTATATTGGAATAGAAAAATGAATTGGAAGTATATACTCCTGATTCCGGAATGATCTCTAAACTAAAAAAAAAGAGCGAGCATTACAGTAGTCGCGTATGATGTGTACAATTTGAAACATCACCTTATATTAGTAAAAAAAGAAATAAAACCTACTGCAAAAGGAATAAGCCATTTGAACATTATGTTCTAAAATCAAATCAAATAGTGTGCGCTTTCGCGACTTCCTGGTACACACTTCCGTCACATTTCACGAAATCACTACCACAAATTGCAGCAAAGCGAGAGGAAAGATGTTACACATCAAAAACGAGCGAGCCTACAGTAGTCGCGTATGATGTGTAACATTTGAAACCTCACCGATTATTAGAAAAAAAAACCTACTACAAAAGGAATAAGCCATTTGAACATTATGTTCTAAAATCAAAGTAAATAGAGCGCGCTTCCTTAACTTCCTGTTACACACCTCCGTCCCACTTCACGTAATCACTCCCAAAAATTGCACGAAAGCGAGAGGAAAGATGTTACACATCAACAACGTGATAAAATGTATGATGTAGTGCTCATGCTACAGGAGCTGAACTGGTTCGAGGCATCGTGACCGTGAGTGGTGTCTCTGCGTGCGTTGCTCGAACGCACTTTTGTATGTAGATTACCTTCTATTTTGTGGTAAAACTAAGTTAACTTTCTCTATGGTGTGAAGAAAAAAGAAAGTATGATTCAAATTATAAATTTATTTAAATTCTTACACTAATCTTACTCCCCCTTATTAATAAACGAGGTATAAGCTTAGACTAGTTACGCCGTCTTTTGTTCATATCACTCAAATGGCATTTGTCATTCAATGAACAGATACAAAACATAGAGTAACTAATCCAAGCTTATTCTGCGTTTATTAATAACGGGTAAAAGGTATAATTATAAACTTATTTAGAAAAGTATTTACAATTTTCTTTTTATAAAGACGTAATGTCCCACGCCTCACTCAGAAACATTAATAACATTTCATGCTTTATTATGTCATGTGTTGTCCTAAATCTACTGTTATCGCAAGAAACTGACATAACTTAGAAGTTACATGACATCTATGAGTGTGGCTGTTAAGTTTAAAAATGTTTTACACATAAATCAGCATAATCAACCAGTAATCAAGTTAAACAAGTTACACGATGATACAACGATACAAGATTAATTCAACAAAATGCATCATACATATGCAACAATAAAGGCTATATTGTGTTTTAATGTTAAAAACTTTGGGTTTTTTTCTAATTGATTATATTGATGATCAGACCATGATCAGACTAAGGGTCTGGCTAACGGTACAAGTTTGTATCCAATTGTAATTTAAATAAATCATGAGTTGATTTGAATAACGGGACATCAATTCCTGTTCATCAGACTATGCCAATCAATATAACTAATTAGAAAAACGCAAATCCTTATCAACCTACAAAATTATAAACATTGTACAGAAAACAACACACATCCCAAAATGTCAACATTCTGTGATTCATTAAAAACTTTGAACCCAATGGCTAACATCCAAAATCTATAAGAGAATGTAAAAACATTTGATTAGTTAATGTTTCAATTATTCTTTTTTCAATTAAAAAAATAGCACTCTTTTGTCACTAATATTTTTATTTGTTCCCAGTACTACAGTCCATCATTTAAACAATTATTTAGGAGACCTAACAATCACATAATAAATTATTTATTTATTGTTACTGAATTCTATGCAATAATAAAATAAGAATAGTCTATTAATTTAATTAACATACACACATGTATACATTTTTTTTGTATAAAAAATAACTCTTGCGTAGGATGTAGGTAAATGCTTTTTTATAGAACTACCCCACTACAGTTATTTAAATAAAAGTAAATTTGATGTTGGATGTTCACAAACAATAACTGCTGTCCTAAAACTTGTAATACTAAAACTATTTTTACTGAATTTCCTTCTAAAATGTTTAAGTATTGTTTTTCACTTTCTTTAAAAATGAATTGATGCCAGGTTGATTCTTCTTAATCTCTGGGGTGTTATTTTTTGTGTCACTTTTAACTTTGATTTCTTTGTTTTCCATTTTAGCTCTCTTCTTTTTATCACTTTTGGGGCTTTGTTTGTCGCCTTCGCTGGCTACCTTTTTCTTTTTAACTTTCTTCTTCTCTATTTCTTCTGGTTCACTTGAAAGTTGAAGGAAAGGTGTTGGATCATTCATGATCATGGACAATTTTCCGAAATAGTTCCATAGGGCATCGACACAATGTTCTGGCTTTCCACCCTCATTTGTTTCCCATAGAATACCATACAATCTAGGTTTTAATTTCTCCGTTGGCTTCTTCATTTCTGTTTCGAATTCATCTTCTAAGTGCTTCAGTCTGGCTTTTTGTGTTTCTGGCGATAAGGACAGTACATCATCATCATCCATTGTAGCTTCCTGAAATAAATATAAAAAAATGTTAGGCTATGTTGGAATCGGTTTATTTAAAGTCGCCAGAATTCGTCAGATTAAGGGATAAATTCAGGCCCTTAGTATAATGCGATTCAACTAGGAATAGGACCGACTGGGCGCCATATTGTGACGTCATAGCTGTCAATTCAAACCAAATAGGTAGAGTGAGCAAAAAAAGTTTTTATTTAATAAAACTTATTTACTAAGATTAAGTGAGAAAAACATCAGTTTTTTTAATAAAATTTATTTTATAAGATTAAGAAAAAAAAACAACTGATTTTTAATAATATTTATTTATTAAGACTGTGGGGAAAATCATTATTCAGAATCTAGCTCTTCAATTCCGCTCATCTCTGCTTTACCGCCGGAGTAGTTATGAATAATCATGCACTATTACTAAGGCACATACGAACATACATCCTTTATGTTACTAGTTTTAAATCGAGTTTGTGAACGCAACCTAAAGTAACATTTGGTTGGCGATTTAGGCTATCAACCATTCATAGCCAAAGCTTAATAAATGAAAAAAAATCAACAAATATTAATTATCAATATTTGTTATTGTTCGTTTACAATTTTTTGGTTTTTATTCTTGAATTAGCACAGGGCTAAAAAAGGGTTCCAAGAATTTTTTTGCAAACCGTACTTTTCAAGCGACTTTTGACAGATGGAGATACTTTTGGGTTCAACGAAAAAAGAAATCATAATTCAAAGTAAGCTTTTTGATGAAACATTAGACAATTTGATAACTTCAATCCGAGGCCATACCTCAGGCCCAAATTAAATCGTGACTGCATGATAGAACTCAGAACTTACACTTGACAGAGTGGAAAACAGGTGAAGGATGCCGGCAAACAAGAGACTTGCCCGCACCCTTACCAGACTTAATAGGGACAAACTCCGCATAATTATAGGAACGCTAACTAGTCACTGTCCCTTAAAAAAAAAAATGGGTGCGTGTACTTATGTAGGCGCGTGAGAAGTTATCCTTCTTTGACATCGTTTAAAATTAGTTTTTAATTGCATGCAAATAATTAATTACAATAAATTAATAAAAAGTCTGGAAAAGGACACAGTCAATAAAGTTCAGTTTTAATTTGAAAAAAATAAATAAATAATCAAAATATTCAATTAAAATCGCTACTGAATATAATTTATTAGAACATATGTGATTTGCACTTGTATGAAACTCAAACACGTATTCCGAATATACAAACTAGAAACATGTGGATAAATATTATAATATGAATACCTGTAACTGTTACTTTATTACAAAAAATAAAGATGTGGTTTTTGGTTCTACTACACCAATGGTCAAGAGATGGCGCTGTAGTCTCCTGAATCGCGCTTTGGTTCCGTTGTTCCAGATTAATAAATACTTTTGATAGGCCTTCACAATGCAGTTGTTAGCACCCACTAAATAGAGATTCTATTTCTATTTTGTTGGTAGATTTTCTTAATGTGCGGTAAACACAAAAGTAACAGCATGAAGTTTGTCGCTAAAGCGACCAACTTCATGCTGTTAATATTTTGTGTTACAGTGATGCGCGCGCATCTTAAAATTTCACTCTCATCATTTTTTCATAACGCGCCTAAAGAAGTATAACTTCAACAATCACTTATATACAATAGGAGTAACAGACAGCCCCCTATGTTGAGGATGTATGGAGGCAGAAGAAACGTGACAGCATGTCATCATGGAATGCAGGAGTGTGGCCGACCAATGGGCACAACTTCTCCAGTCGCCAGCATCGCTTCCGGAAGCTTTCAGCAGTCTGCCAAGGCTGCTATCCTTCTGTACTAACTTAGGCTGGCTGGAGTAAATGGGAATGTTTCAAGACACGCACAGTGGTCCAGTGATTAGGACTAAGAGTGGAAACCGCCCTGAAAAACTAACTAACTTCTTCAATCCGAATAGAAATTTTACGATCATATTTTTAAGCAATGTAAAATACATCATACCATTTTACCAGCTGTGATTTTAAATATGCACCTCATGATCCAGCTATATCATACCCATGGTAAATTTAGTTTTTTGAGAATTCCTCAGGAAGTTAAATTTTTTTCGAGGATAAAAAGTACCCTTTGACTCAACAATCCAGGTAATAAACTATAACAGTATGTGTGCCAAATTTCATCCAAATCCGATCAGCCATTTTTGCGTGATTGAGTAACAATTATAACTACTTTCACATACATACTCAGTCTGTCTGTTACCTCTTCACGCTTAAACCACTGAACCGATTTAGATGAAATTTGCTATAGAGATAGTTGGAGTACTTGGAAAAATAGTTTTATCTCAGACATCATCTTTTAAGGCGATCTAAAGAAAGTTTGTATTGGAAACAATTTTTTCTACATAGACAAAGTCACAGGCATCCACTAGTCTATAAAGTTAGTAAGCTTATCTCGTCGCTCAAATATCCGTGGGGCACAAACACCTCGTTATCGACTACGTATTCGTCGTCGCTGCCGTCGATACCTTCGCCTACGTGTTCCTCTCCCTAACCTTTTTTATTATCTCTCTTCCTACTCCATAATATAAATACAGGCAGTCCTCGAATTACGTCGTTTTTTAATTTCCGTCTTTTCAAGTTACTCCAAACAATGTTTTGACACTATTCCTCAAGCAAACGTAAATTGTGTTGATTTCCGGCATAGGAGAATTCACTAGTCGCGAGGTCAACGTCAGTGGGGATGTCTCGAATTACGTCGCGTATTTCGAGAACCTAACATGCCGTAAGTACGAGGACTGCCTATAAACAAAGAATGCTCCTCTTGCCATTCCTGATATTTCACTTTAGAATAGAATCTTTCGCTTCGCTCTGTTTATGTTACACTAGTTTATAAAGTTAGTAGGCTTACCTCGTCGCTCAAATATCCGTGGGGCACAAACACCTCGTTGTCGACTTCGTATTCGTCGGCATCTTGTTCGTCGTCACTTCCGGCGGCGCTGCCGTCAATACTCTCACCTTCCTGTTCCTCTTCCCATTCCTCGTCGCTGTCTACCTCGTAATCTAGCTGTTTCTGTAACAGAATAGAAAATATAAACAAAGAAATATTTCCAACACTCACACCAATTAGCCTAGCCCCAAAGTAAGCACTTGCACTGCACAAAGGCTTGTGTTATGGGATACTAGAGTAACGGATAGAATACATATATAAGTTATATTTATATAGAAATACATATTAAACATCCATGACCGGAGTACAAATGCGGATTTGTACTCCGGTCATGGATGACGAAGGGATTCGAACCCGGGACCTCTCGAGTCGGCGACACCATGAAACCCGGCGTATAAACCACTCGGCAACGGAGGTTGTCACTCAAGCCGAATGGTCGGCCTATTGCAATACAGTAGTGTCGATTCTGGTATGATTATCTAAACCTAAAATTTAACTGACAACGAAGAGTATCCTTGTCATTCTCTATACATAATGAAGAGAGACTGATATTGAATTTAGTTCTAAGTTTAGAGAATCATGCCAGAATCGACACCAATAGCCCACTAATGTCTGATATAATATAACACCAATAGATTTCTGTACAAACGTTTAGGTACAGTGAGTATTATCGGTCGTTGCTTTCGTCTGGATAGCAAAACGACAAATTAATTTAATGCTTCATTAAGTGACGTGCTGTCTATTTTTACAAAGAAATTGTCGACATTAACTTTCGTCAAAAGTTAATTAACTTCTCTGAGTACGGCCGTAAGATTTTTAGTGTAATGGTGCATTTACATTTGGTCGTTAGCCCGTATTCGAGTGTAGGAAAGTCATTACTCGAATTCGGGCACCCGATGCAATATTTACTTACATTGTTTTTACTCAAACACGGGCTGGAAGACCGTGTCGGGTAACCAAAACGAAAACTGCCCGAATACGAGCGTACTCAACTCATTTATTTGTTCATTTACACTTTCGTTGTTTGTTCAAATTCCATAGGCAATCGTATTCGAGCTTAAGTACAAGTGTAATTGCGCCATAAGAGGTAATGGTAAAAACCGGCTAAGTGCGAGTCGGGGTTCATACATCGCGCATCGAGGGTTCCGTACAAACCTGAATTTTCAAAAATATTTTTTATTATATGATATAACTACAAATTTACGGTTTTCGCAATTTATCCTTTACCTGTACTAAAAGACATTACTTTGTACCAAATTTCAAGATTCTAAGTTCACGGGAAGTACTCTGTAGGATTTGATTCCCGTGCGAGTTTCGAAAATTTGCGACATAAACGGCTGTATCTTTTGATTGCTTTAGCTTAGAAGTTTGATTTTTTCGCAGCTCCAAGGGATGGTAGACCTGAGTATTAGAAATGAATTTCAGTTTGATACCTCCACGCGCTCCTGAGAAAAGCGGTCTTGACAGACGGACGGACGGACAACAAAGTGATCCTATAAGGGTTCCGTTTTTTCCTTTGGAGGTACGGAACCCTAAAAATGAAAACTTTATGTAAGTTCAAATGTACACACCCCGTCTTGTCCAAACGGATTCCTTGGTTTGATAGCTACACTCTTCTTCCTCCAAGTGCCCCAATACGGAGGTCGCCTGTTGTCATGGAAACTAAGCAGTTTCGGCCTCAATTTTTCTCGTATTAAAGGATCGCATGTTATGATCTCACCCCCTCCATCGAGTGGTGGTAATTCATCCTCTGTAAAATTAAAATTGATTTTAGTATAATAACATTCACAAAAGTCTCATTTCGTCGAAAATTATGAAGAAAGTCTGGAACTGGAATGAGGTTTAAAAAGTTTTTACAATTTAACATATTATTAAGTAACAAATTAGGTCTGATTAGGAGGACAGATTTTATTTGCCATACAATGGTACTATATAAACTCCGCAAGTTTTTTTTATAAAAAAGTTAAGTAAATAAATTAAAAGAAAAATATAAATCTTACCAATAATCATAACATCATCGTCTCTCTCGGACAACGGCCACGTTTTTCCACTGGAAAGGGGTTTAGTGGAACCGTCTTTCAGATTTCTTATGTACAAAGCTGATTCAGATACATTTTGTTCTTCCATCAAATTATCTAATTTATGTTTTTTCTCCTCTGTCAAATCCACACGAACGGTGGGTGCTAGCCTCATATCGTTTTTAATCGCGAAACTTGATAAAACGCTACTCTTGCTGATTGTACCCAATGCATGCTGATCTTTATCCGATTTTTGTTTTGGTACAAAGAAATTGACGAAAGCTTCAGCCGCTTTCTTCTTCTTTAATTCTTGCTCCTGTTTCTCTAATTCTTGAGCTTCTTGTTTCTTACGCTTCTCTTCGTCTCTGGCTTCTTTCTCTTTCCTTCTTTGTTCTTCCTTCTCTTCTCGTTCTTTTCGCTTCTGATCCTCCTTTTCCTCCCGTTGTTCTGAAATTGGAAGTAATATTTTTTATTGTAATGGATAACATCAAACGTGATCATGTATTAAAAAACCGGACAAAGGCGAGTCGGACTCGCCCATTGCTCGCCCACCTAAGGTTCCGTTGAACTTTATAGGTACATTTTATAATTGCTAAGAAAAAGTTTTAAAAAATCTACAAAAAACTTGGTCACCCATACCGTTGCTTAGCCTTGATGATTGTAATAAATGTACAGTTTTCAGATATTTTCTGGTACTTTCAGTATAAGACGATATTACTTGCCAAAATTCTAGGTTAACTGAAAGTACCTTACCAATTTGATTCCCTTGAGAGTGTGGAAGTATGTGTTTTTTTGCAACATAAATGAGCGCATCTTTTTACGTTTACTTATAGTTTAATTTTATCACAGCTTCCAGATACCTCCACGCGTTCCCGAGATTAAGGTTCTAGACTAGACAGACAGACAACAGTGTTCCGTTTTTCTTTTAGATGTACAGAACCCTTTTAGGGTCAAGCAAGTGAGGGCCTCATGAAATGTAAGGGTACGTAGTTGCCGAGGCACAGGCCTTCCCTATGGATGGAATAGGGGTATAAGCCCATGAACCACCACGCGGGCCCAGCGTGGATTGGTGGGTGGGACCAACGGCTTAACGTGCTTGCCGAAAAACAGAGGAGCTCGAGATAATAAATTTTTGGTATAACCCATCCGATAAACGGCCATTGCGAAAACTTTCTTAACTTCCGCTCATCATCAAATTATGTTATATTTGTTTACAATTTCGATACAAGATGTTGGACTAGAAAAATATATAAAGACTCATGTCACCCCACACATCCACTTGTAGACACAGAAAGATATATTTTTATATAAATATTGACGTACCGAAAGACCATTAATTTTAAGGAGTCAACACATTTTTGCCTTTATTCAAATTGAAGACAAGATTGGGAAAATTGTACATTTCCTTTTTTTTATGTTAGCCTCAAGTTTTTTTCTTTTCTTATATTATTTATTGGTTTTGAACACTAAGGCAAACGGGCCACCAACCACAGTCACCGGTGGCCAGCGACAAGATGTTCACACACGTTTTCATACATTTTATTGACACTAGCCGTACACGCGTAGCCTGGACTCACCGCTTGTGGTCATTGCGTAACAAAAAACACAGGCGGTGACGGAGGTAACGACGTCGTCGGCGTATTAACAATAGCGCAGGCAAAATTTCCGTGTAGGAGTCCATCGTAAAATTGTGCAGCTGAAAGCGGGTTATAAAATATGGCGGCTTCTGACAATGTTAAAAATGTGGCGGTAGCGCGCGAGAGCCACCGGTAGCTGTGATCTCCGTTTGCGCCGAGCCTAAAAGTAATTATTTTTTACACACTTTTTTCTAGCTCCCTCTGCCTATCTTTTTCTTCCTTTTCTTTCCTCTTCTGTTCTTCTTTTTCTTCTCGTTCTTTTCTCTTCTGTTCCTCCTTTTCTTCCCGTTCTTTCTTTTTCTGCTCCTCTTTTTCTAATCTCTGTTTGGCTTTCTCTTCTTTTTCTTGCTGTTTCTTCTTCTCTCGTTCTTCCTTCTCCTTTTCCCTCTCTTCCCTCTTCTTTGCCGCTTCCAGTTTTTTCTGTAACTGTACAATATTGGATTAGTAGCATGCCAATTTCAGAATGTAATTTTTATTTACTTAAAAACAGTAGCAAACTTTTTATAATATCATAGTACCTTCTATGAAATACAGTTGAACATGTATAAACTAATGGAAAAAACGACGGATTGCACTCCGGGAGTGCTGGTAGAAGTGAAAACTTGAATATTAACATTGTGCATTTTTGATATTTTGGAATGGATAGGAAATAATTTTGCTCGAATTGCTTTAATTATCAGTATAAAAGTACTATCATTTATGTGGTACAATACAATTTTTATTTATTGCGCTATCATACACAAACATGACAATGTATATTACATTGAAAAGTTTCTCTCAGAAAAATCAACTTACATGAATCACATTTAAGCGCATCTAGCGACATCTATTGTAAAAAAATGCATTTTCTTTGCAATAAAGCTGCCACCTGGACGTCCTAGATAGAGACTTATTATTATAATATGATAAAGTAAAATATTACTATGTTTCGTCCAATATATTGAAAGTCAACCACCTTTCTAATTTTATTGTTTTCGTCTTATGAATTTTCGATTAGGTCACGTGTCCTGATGCGAGTTTAACATTTTTTACCTATTACCAAAAAAGTGTACAATGCCGCTGAAGTTTTTATTTCAAAAACAGGTAAATATATAAATGCCATATCCCTTGAATAATAGACAGAGCACAGGTGCACCATCTCAAGATATCAATTAAATTCAGATAAATATCAGAATTAAAATAACAGATTCAGACTGTAAGAAGTTATAGCAAAATTTTGTCTCGGTAAATATGGTTACAGGTCACCAGCGTATAATTTACAATTAATCATTGGTCAGCCATATAGTTAATGTAATCAGTTTTTATTTATTTTTACAGGCTTCCAGTCTAACATTACAATTCAGCATAAATAAAACTCTTGAAAAGCATTGATTTGATACACTATTAAGAAATACCAACTGAAGAACATGAAAATGTTGTACCATGGTGCAGGATTTTACTGCTGACATACACAGTAAAATGAGTCAGTCGTAAGTAAGTTTCTAGCACTCTAGAAAAGCTATTTTAGTAGTTGAGATTGTGATATGTATAAACAAATTGAAAAGTGGTCAGTAATATCACTAACTTATATAGGTATATTTGAAAAAAATATGGAATATGATAGAGTATGCCGAAATAGAAATGATGATGGGGAAATATGATGTGATGATGGTACACTGAAATTGATGACCATATAGATGAGAAGAGCTGCGAGATAGTACCAATAATGAGTAATCAACTGTTGGTGAACTGAATGGTTTCAGCATCAAATGGAAGGATTGCAACAGAGATACATGACAATTCTTTGGTTTGTAAGTTGACAGAATAAAAAAAAAATGGGTGCGTGTACTTATGTAGGCGCGTGAGAAGTTATCCTTCTTTGGCATCGTTTAAAATTAGTTTTTAATTGCATGCAAATAATTAATTACAATAAATTAATAAAAAGTCTGCAAAAGGACACAGTCAATAAAGTACAATTTTAATTTGAAAAAATAAATAAATAATCAAAATATTCAATTAAAATTGCTACTGAATATAATTTATTAGAACATATGTGATTTGCACTTGTATGAAACTCAAACACGTATTCCGAATATACAAACTAGAAACATGTGGATAAATATTATAAATATGAATACCTATAACTGTTACTTTATCACAAAAAATAAAGATGTGGTTTTTGGTTCTACTACACCAATGGTCAAGAGATGGCGCTGTAGTCTCCTGAACCGCGCCTTGGTTCCGTTGTTCCAGATTAATAAATACTTTTGATAGGCCTTCACAATGCAGTCGTTAGCACCCACTAAATAGAGATTCTATACTTATTTTGTTGGTAGATTTTCTTAATGTGCGGTAAACGCGCCTAAAGAAGTATAACTTCAAAAATCCAAACTATAAACTTAGGCAGTGCTCTCAATTCCAACAAATTCAATAATCTGACATTGCCCTCTAAAACTTTAGTTGGACTATCTAGTAATGTTTTATCCTACTTGGGTTAATATTTTTCTTAATCCAATGTAGGTAATAAATTCAAAATCAAATAGTGTTAAACATACAAATGTTGATAGTATTTTTGTTACTGAATGTAAGAGTTTGCATTAAATTTTATTTAAAAGTATTTAATGTAAGTACTTTATTGTCTTTATTAATCAAATATTGGACATTATTGACCTGCCCTGTCCATGAGCAGGGTATATTTACAAGAAATGTTGAGATATCCATATGAAATCACCATCCTCATTTACAAATTCTCTGTGAATGTGTGAAGTTGACTCTTTTTAAAATTAATATCATAGAAAAGGTTTGTCCTGACTATGGTGTCAATTCTGGCATGGTTCTCTAAACTTAAAACTAAATTAAACAACAGTCTCTCCTTTTATTTATGTACAGAGAATGACAAGGATACACTATTGTCAAATTTAAGTTTAGGTTTAGAGAACCATGCCAGAATCGACTCCAGTAACAGTACAATCAAAAAGAATTATCAAATTCAGTGCAGTATTTTGGTATTTGTATGTAACATAAATTTTATGAATTTATATCAATTTATAATATAGAATTGGTAAAACATTAATAATAATAATAATAATAAAAGTTTTAGAATGCATTTTGGTGTCGAAATATTTTCAGTAGGCCTGGTTTACTAATTTCATTTCATATGAGCTAACAAACAAAAAAGTAACAACATGTTGTTTAACATTATAACAATAAAAGATAATTTTATACAGCTTTATATAATCAAAGCTAAGCATGATTTATCATTACAAATGCCATCTCACTATCTATTCTTGTATTTTTTTCTAAGATATCATAAAAATATGTGTGGCTTACCTGTTTTGGTGTTAAATTAGCTGTAGAAAGATTAGATTCATTCAAAGAATCATCTAAACTGGTAGTAACAGATAGGCTTCTGTTATGTTTTGGTGTTCCAGGGTTTGATGTCACAGATGTCACAGATTCATCTCGCTTTGGTTTGCTTAAGGTTTTTTCATCTAATTTAGCTTTGTTTCGGGTGCTCCTCTTGGCAGTCATTGGACTTGCTCCTTCTGCAGTCTCCTGTTCTAACTTATCAGTTTCCAAATCTTTAGTAGGTTCAATTGTAGTGATAGGATTATTTAGCTTTACTTCAGTCTTAATATCTTTTTTAGGAGAATTTAAGGTGTCATTGCCTGTTTCATCAGAATCATTACATTTTGAACTATTATTTACTTCTAAAAATGTTTCATTAGTATTTTTTTCTGCGGTCTTGTTTGAACTACTGACTTCAGAGTTTATTGTAGGTTCAAAAATATAATTTGACTTTACCTCATCAGATTTGTTAGAATCTTCTAAAACAGTTGATTCTGAAACAGCCTCCCCTTTCAATTTATCTTCAATGTCTGATTTTGAAGACACTGCTGACACCTTTGAGTTCCTTGCAGATTTCCTACTTGTTTTTTTTGATTTGGGTGACCCATTAGTTCCATTTTTTGATGTATTTTCATTTGACGCTACATTACCATTGCAAGTTCTGCTTGAATCAATGACAGGAACTAAATCTACTTCCATAGGTGCATCTTCATTTTTTGAATCATTCCCCTCTTCTTCCTTTGTTTGAGTTGGAGTATTCTCAGAGTCTTTGTGCTGAGAAGATTTTTTTTTGTCTGATTTCTTTTTCTTAGATTTTTGAATTTTTTTCTTCCAGGCCGTGTCGACTAACTTTACGAACGGATTAAGCGGTTTTTCATTTTTTACAGTCTCTTTAGTATGTGAGGTCTCATCATCACTAATTGTCACGACATCTTCAACTACATCATTTTCTTTGCAGATCTTGCCTACTTTCGGCGCAGATTCAGCTTCAGCAGCTGAAAGTTTTCTTTTTCGTGTTTGTGGAGTTACGGGTGACACAGGAGCTTCGCTGATGAGTTTGAATGGGAGACGCGCTTGCTTCAGTTTTTTTTTAGATGGTGTAATTTCGGTATTCTCAGGTGATTTACTAGTTTTCATTTTAGCAAAAGATTACCATGCACTGATATCAAAACAATAACTTAAAATGACACCACTTTAAAAAGAAGTTCTTCAGATATTCAAATTATTTATAATTTTGTAAAAACAACCATTTTTCTACAGAACATTAGATTTCAGGGAACAACAAAAAGCACACCAAGATGAACTTTTGACAGTCGTCATAAAACGCGGGAAATGTTATTATTTTCATTTTCGTACTATAAAAGCAAAGGATACTGAGCCAATACAACCTCGACTTCTCGTATTATTCCTTCAAGACGAGAGTGTCTACAGTTTTCCTTAAATAAAGGAACTGATTAAATAGTTAAGCTGCGCTATGGATTTTAAAAATCAAATTTGACATTTACAGATTCAAGTTCATTTTACTTTAAAAAGATAATACATAAAATATAATTTAAAAAGATGCCATAAAGACGCAAAGCCATGGCAAATCCGAGCACAGTGAGATAGACATAATACAGGTTCTTTGTCTCGTTCTTTGAACATCATAATAACTACACATAATCCTTATGAACTAGTATATTCGAATCGAATTTGCATTGCCGGCATCTACATAATATAAAGTTTCGTGCATACGGATAGGACAGCGCGTACGTGGGTACGATAAAATATCTGCTTTTTTAAAAAACTTGGGGTGTTTTTGTTTGTGGAAATCTCTACTTTTTGATGGTATAAAAAAAATATACACTAGTATGATAAATGTTCTCAGAAAATGCAAATTAATAATGAAAAAAACTCCAATCCGAAAATCCTATTTTTAATACCTACTTACATCAACTATTTTTGCATGTTTTATGGATTTGTAATTTTTCTGTTTATCAATATAACATGAAATTTTACGTTTTTCGAGTAATTAAAGTGTAAATTTTAATAAATAGTTCAAAATTATACATAATGATTCAATCAATTTTTCGGATTGGAGTTTTTTTCATTATTAATTTGCAGTTTCTGAGAACATTTACCATAGTAGTGTATATTTTTTTTATACCATCAGAAAGTAGAGATTTCAACAAACAAAAAACACCCCAACTTTTTTAAAAAAGCAGATATTTTGACGTGAGAATTTTCGATTGAAAATAAGGGTGCTTTTTCGATATTAAGTCAAAATAAGGTGAAAAAATGAATATTTTAAATCAAAAAAAATACTGTATGTTTGGGACATACAAAGGTAAGTTTTCACCAAATTTCGTGAAAAAATATTTTTTTTTGCAAAAAATTAAAATCAAAAACCAAAAACTCGGTTATTCGCATTTTTCACATAAATTTTGAGGTTATGTGAAAAAAGTGTCGACACAAAAGTTGTAGATCTTTTTATTACCTACAACTTTGCCATTTAATTTTTTAATTAACCATTTTTTTACCCTTAGAAACTCACCCCCTCCCCCTTCCCGACCTCAGATCGCCCGTAATTATTTTTCCTTTCATTTTTGTTATATTCTCTACCTTTTGTAATGGGTTTCATCCTACTATAATTTTTTTTGGTCTCAAAAATTATCGACCCTGGTCTAGTAGGCCTATTCGCTAACATGTTTTGACAGGTGGAAGTGATGATCACTGAGCTTATTAGTGTTTTCTTGTAACGCCATTAAGAAACTTGTTCTGAAAGGCATCGATGGATATGCAATTTTCACATCAGATACACACTCTAAATGTCAAAAAAAATGGGTGCGTGTACTTATGTAGGCGCGTGAAAAGTTATCCTTCTTTGGCATCGTTTAAATTTAGTTTTTAATTGCATGCAAATAATTGATTACAATAAATTAATAAAAAGTCTGGAAAAGGACACAGTCAATAAAGTTCAGTTTTAATTTGAAAAAATAAATAAATAATCAAAATATTCAATTAAAATCGCTACTGAATATAATTTATTAGAACATATGTGATTTGCACTTGTATGAAACTCAAACACGTATTCCGAATATACAAACTAGAAACATGTGGATAAATATTATAAATATGAATACCTATAACTGTTACTTTATTACAAAAAATAAAGATGTGGTTTTTGGTTCTACTACACCAATGGTCAAGAGATGGCGCTGTAGTCTCCTGAATCGCGCTTTGGTTCCGTTGTTCCAGATTAATAAATACTTTTGATAGGCCTTCACAATGCAGTCGTTAGCACCCACTAAATAGAGATTCTATTTTGTTGGTAGATTTTCTTAATGTCCGGTAAACACAAAAATAACGCATGAAGTTGGTCGCTAAAGCGACTAACTTCATGCTGTTAAAATTTCGTGTTACAGTGAGGCGCGCGCATCTTAAAATTTCACTCTCATAATTTTTTCATAACGCGCCTAAAGAAGTAGAACTTCAAAAAAAAATGTCGCAAAGAACATTTTATTTTAGTGAAAAATTTCGGTCCTATTTTGGTTAATAGCGTGTGCTTTAACAATCAGCTCAGCAAAAATATTTTAGCAATCAGATTCAACGTTGTCTGTAGAAAAGCACTTAAGCTTACTTTATTGCAAAATTAGAGCTAATATTGCTTATAAAAACATCGAATTATGACTTGTTTAGAGCAGCGAAGAAGTATCCACGACCAGGCCTTAGTTTAAGCAAAAAAAATGGTTGCCTGTAAAGTCGGTTTTACGGGCGAAGATTTTACGTGACAACGTCTTTTTCTCGGTAGAATATTTATTGATATGAATATAATTAAATTGCACAATAGGAACAAGGAATTGAATGAAAATAAGAATTGCACAAATTTTAACTATAGAAATATATTTTGTTTACTAAAACATTGTACATGTAAACTTAAACTCATCGTAACGTTACCGAGCGTTACACTTTTTCATAAGTGACTCCCAGCCGCAACCTAATTTAAGACGTTGTCACGTCAAAAATGGTTGCCTGTAAAGTCGGTTTTACGGGCGAAGATTTTACGTGACAACGTCTTTTTCTCGGTAGAATATTTATTGATATGAATATAATTAAATTGCACAATAGGAACAAGGAATTGAATGCAAATAAGAATTGCACAAATTTTAACTATAGAAATATATTTTGTTTACTAAAACATTGTACATGTAAACTTAAACTTAACACGAGAGACTCATCGTAACGTTACCGAGCGTTACACTTTTTCATAAGTGACTCCCAGCCGCAACCTAATTTAAGACGTTGTCACGTCAAAAATTCAACAGGGCTACAGGTCACGCACGGGTAACGTAACGGATTATGCGTACCCATGTGCGGACTGTCCGTCTGACCTGCGCAGCTTAACATTCGCTTGTTTTTCCTCCGTGATTCGCTTCATCCCTACATTGCTCCTTTCACACTGGTATATATGCACTTTTGCTAAGAAAGTGAGGAAGCGAATAACGTTCAATTAAGCACAATTGCATTACTTTTTGTTTGTTGCAGTTTTTACGCAATGGTTTTTCGTTTTAAGATGTTTGCTGTTTTTTCTAGTCTATAATAAAGAGTAGTAAGAGCTTATGCATGAAGTCACAGAACAACTGTACGGGACGCCGGGCTGTCGCAGTAGCGGACAGTTACCGACTCGTACTGAGGGGTGGAGGAAGTTACACGCAGGAGTCTTGACTGTAGTGGACTGTAGTTTCGGCGAATAAAACCCCTGGTGTTCGGTATTGAAGAAATCGGTGGGCGCTGATAATGGATGGCCGGTGAGAGGAGGTTTCAGGTCCAGAGTGAACCGCTTGTGTGTTTCTTCCTGTTCCTTAGGGTAGGAGCGCCTGTCGCTGAATGCATGTCGGAGCATGTTCCGACTCGAATTTTATATGCTAGGACTGAGCTGGCCAGCGATCCATTACCTCACCCACGCTATACTTTATTTTTCATTTTCTCAAAAATTACATTAGTGCGAGCTTAAAACTAATTGTTCATACATCGGGCATACATATAGGCATATTTTTAACACAATTATGTGTCCGTAAGTATGATATTTTAGGTGTGGCGCGAAAAAATAGGTCTCCGCAATATTTATACTTTCCCCCTCCATAGGGCTTCGCCCTGCCACGGGGCTCCGTTGCCCCACCCGCGCGCTCCGAGCGCGCCGGGTGGGGAGCGCAACATGTCTTAGAAAATCGTTCTATACAAACAGATTTTGTCTCCTACACGGTACATTTTTACATTTATTGATGTGATGCCTATTTATTTATGTAGTCCTATGCGTTATCTACCTAATACAACAAATTTTTAATAAGAATATTAACAAACAACAGCTCCACGGCCCTATAAAGTTTACAAATTAAAAAGTCTTAAAAAACCTATTTACATTCACTTAATGCCTAATATATGTCATTTTATAGAGGAAGTAAAAATATACAAAATAACATCATTATCATAACAATTATACCTATATCCTATCGACTATTCGTAAAAAACTATTTCTAATATTTTCCTTAATTACGCCTAAACTACTAATATGATTTACACAAAACTTTGATATTTTACTCTTATAACTACCTATTTTCTAATAAGACATAAAATAAATCAATCAAAACATAAAACATACTATTATCGAAAACTATCAACTCAGGCAAAATCTTATAAGATGTGAGACAAGGACAGCCTATCGTCTTTGTTTCTCCTATAGGTCGGAACTATCAACATTGCATTTATTAGAAACTAGTTTCCCCGCGCCACCGCTTGGCGTCGTGGCGATCGTTTAGACAAATTCTTATAAGATTGTTGGAGAGAACGGGACGGAATATCGCTCTGAACTATCAATTTTACAATCGTTTACTATGGGCAAAGCTATCTATTATTGCGATATCCGACTCATTCTAATAAGACAACAAGGGAATAATCATTTTTAATGTGTAGACAACCGATACATGTGAAATTATAGATACATTTTATAAATCAATCTTGTGTCGATGTTTCTTCCGTTGACTTTATTTCTTCTCGTTTCGGTCGTAAGGCGGTCGTCTCGTACAACAACAAAAAAATAGTAGCATCAATGCTACTACTACAAAGTAGTGAATTCTTCGTCCATGAACATCACCCTACAACCGGCCAAATATCTTGGATATTTAAAAATAATAACTGACATATCAAAGTATAAAGACTTTTTTTCTACGTCTATTTAAAACCTTACATCATGTCAAAAAAATGGGCATTTCGAGATGTATCCATTTTACTACAAGAGATACGAAATTTCTTATTAGGCAGAAAACATACACTGCACCCACGTTTTCCTCTAAAAGTTTCACCACGGAGTATTCCACCTGCCGATATACCTCGAGCTCCAGAGTACAAGTACTCCAATCAGTATTATTACGAGAGAAATGCTTTTGATTCAGTAAAACCTCCGGTAGTTGCGCCAGTTGCTGAAGGTGGTGGTTTATCGCGAAACACTGTGGCAGCTGAAAATGTGAGTATTACGTGAAGTTATGCTGACTTGACTAGTTCTGAGACATCGATCTCGCGGTAAAGTCCCTCAACGGGATCTCGCGGTTCCGCACTTAACAGCGTAGAGGCTTAGAATAATTCCATCCGTAGAGGGTATTCGCAGGGCGCTAACGTCTACCCCCCACGAATGCTGTCGCCCGTGTTTCCACCCTCTTCTCCTAGGAGATGTGGGCGACCGGGAGAGGGGAGAGGGACGGGAAGAACTACGCTTCCCCTCCCGTTCCCCCCTCCCAGGAATGGCGGCCCCCTCTTGTAGTTTTGTCCTATAAGGGGGACGGCGGAGGGCTGCTTGGACGGGTACGCTCAAGAAGCCCTCCGCAACGGACGGGGGCGGTACGTTGGGCACTAGGCCGCGTACTTAGCCCCCACGTGCGGGCCTACATGCGCACGTCTGCGGCACGGTAATATTATCTATACAGTATTGTGACTCTGCCCTGTCCTTGAAAATAAATGCCTATTCCGAGCGCTGCATTAGCACGCGGTAGGGCCGCCCGCCTACAGTATTTTATGTAGTTTTGTTTTTAACGCGAGTGTAGGTAGATTACTCGTTTGTCTCTTTTTTTATCCTAACCACTTATTTACATATTATTCCAGATATTTTGCCCGATGGAAAAACCGAAATACCTAAATATTAGAAACAAATTACGTAATAGTAGATAGGTACTTATATAAAAAATATTCTATAAAGGTAAGACACCTTTCCAATATTTCAGGTAATTTAAAAAATGATATCTCTGGGTGTGTTATTGAAGAGTTCAAGCAACCAAAAGCAGCAATTGTGCTGTTGTACGATATTGATCGTCGTTTGTTCTTTTCCATACTAAATTATGTAGGTATCTACTTAATTAAATCAAATATTTACAATACAAAACGCACGTTTAAAAAGAGGTCCAATGGGCACTTTTTGCGTTTGGGTCGAATCTTGAGGTTCCAATGGGTACTAGACCCGTTTAAGCACGGCTAACTGCATAAAAACAATTCAGACCGTTCGGTCGTCGTCGCGGCGCGGCGGCGCATTCGCGACTGGGTGCCCGTTGAGAGCACATCGAACTCGAGTGGCGTAGGTATTACTCGCTTTCCGACCGTTTGTATGAAGGTAGAATACTGTATGATATTATTACCGTGTCTGCAGGGTCCCCGCAATACCTCGGGAGACCCCTGCCGTGGAGCCCCGGCGAGAGCGGGAAGCTGCTGGGTGCGGGGATGCGGAGATATCCCTCATCAAGGGGATCCCGCGGCTCCGCATCAAGCAGTGTTGAAGGTATTCGCAGGACTTTTTTAGCAGATATGATACCGTAAAGCGCTCGTTAGAGTTGCGGGGTCCCCGGTGGTCAGCCACTGAGGGGTGCGTAAGACTGGTTCAACTAGTCGCGGGCTCAAACTCACTCGTGGACGCGGCCTAAAAGCACGCTGTCTCATCTAGCATTGTGTCTAAAAGAGATAGAATTAGTTATGAGCAGTTAGCAGCTAGTCTACACGCATACTTCTAGTCGCACGCACACAAACACCGTCTCGAAGTCTGCCAAACTGAAACGACGTTAGACGATGCACGGCTTTGCGCCGCACCGCTGTGCCGGTCGGAGTGGGGGGTGTTAAAAAAATGAAAGAAAAAGAAATAAAGAAAATATTTTTTGTAAACTCTTAAAAAATACAACATGTTAAAAGGTACTCATACAGTAAGGGCTAACCAGGACCCTGCCTCAGCGTTAGCTGGACGACATGTGTCACGCCAGCGCTGATATTCTGGCAGGGCCTGCTTGGAGTTATACAAGCTGGCGGTTGCCGGGCCGCGCTCATCAGCGGTGTCCGGGGTGCCGTGCTCCGAATCCGTGACCCTACGCAACAGTGACCCTGCGGCGTACACGCGCGCCTGTCAAGAGGTCGTCGCGCAGCTGGCGGCGCGTCTGGCGCACCACCACGTCCCGCCTGTCGAGAGTCACTACCAGCCGCAGCAGCCGCCCAGCATTGTGACGCTTTGCTCCACGCTGACTCCCCTCTCTTCGGGCAACCCGCCGATCTCCAGGTCGGACAACAACGTTTCCTGATCGCGGTCGTTGCCCTCGGCGCGCAGCTCGGATATGGTGCGCTCCAAGTCCATTCTACCAGTTGCATCAGGATCCACTTGATGCTGCTCCGCTCGAAGGAGTCAAGTCGAGCGGTAAAAGAACTGCGGAAGGCCGCCATCTCCGAGTGGAATTCCCTCATCTCCTTCATGCAGTCGGCCTGCATACTTTTTATATCACTGGTGTGATTATTTCCGGTGGCGTTCTCCTTGGCCTTACCCTGGACCTTGAACTGATCTTCCTTTGGAGAGTCACTGGCCAGGTCGACAGGTGTAGCAACCGGTTTTTCGGGCTCGTTAGATTCGCTGATAACCTTTACAGGCGTATGCGTATTATCACTCCTGCGTGTGCTCTTTTTGCAGTTCGGGCATATCCAGTCCTTGCTGACACACGACTTTTCAGGGATGGCGAGGCAGGCCTTATAATATTTTACTGGGCAAGCACTGCAAATAACAACATTGCCCGGCGCCAAAAAACTTCCACAAGCTCCACAGTTTACCATCTTTAGTCCAAAATTTTAAATTATAATTTTAAAATCTAAATAAAAGGGAGACAAATAAAAATAAGAACAGGTGCTGGGGGTTAAAACAAATATATAAAAAGGAAAAGGAAAAAATAATAATAAAAAGTAAAAATAGGTAAAGAAACTTTTTAAGTTAAACGGTTTTATGTTAAACATACATTGCAATGTTTAAGATAAATGTACTAAAAACCAAAAAATAATAAAATATAGCTTGTTTCCACATTCTAGCCCTACTTATCACACGTCCATCGTTGTCGGTTGAACAACTGCCTAATTATAGTGTAACATTACAAAACAAACATTTTAATCAACGATTGTAGACAATTGACGTGCCCCACGGTTTTATTTTAGTCTAGTCTATGCATATGTTTATAATTCCCACGACTGTATCTATTTTATTATTTTTTGGTTTTTAGTACATTTATCTTAAACATTGCAATGTATGTTTAACATAAAACCGTTTAACTTAAAAAGTTTTTTTACCTATTTTTATTTTCTAGTTTTTAATTCGCATTCTGTTTAATTCATTTAGTGCTTCATTATTGCAAGGTTTCTTGCCCGTTAGTTTATTGCAGTCCAACTCCTCTATACGTAGTCCCTGCAAAGATCTTACTCTACTAAGAGCCACGTAGGCTTGACCTTCTTCAAACAGTTTAGCACCTAAGTATACGACTGCGTGATCCACAGTGCTGCCCTGCATTTTATGTATTGTAGAAGCCCATGATAGTATTAAAGGCAACATTAACGCCACACAGTCCTCAACACGATACAAAATCTTGACTTGGGTGGTGGATTCAGGCTGGATTAATCAGATACCTAAATTACAGATTCAATTTCTAAATTTAAATCTTATTATTATACGCCATTTAGTGGCTGCGCCCATCTTAAATATCGAGGTTGTATAGTGCACTGTATTCTTCTTGTCAAGCTCTTTTATTTGATACCCATATTGGTGGGATTGATAAAAAATTGTTATCAGCCATTTGGTAGCGGCGGTCATCTTAGATTTCAATAAATAGTATAGTAAATTGTATTCATATAGCATAATAAATTGTATTCTACTTGTTGAGACCTTTCATTTGATACCCATATTGATGGGATTGATAAAACCTACGTTATCCGCCATTTTGTAGCGGCCGCCATCTTGGATTTCAATTTTTTATAGTATATTGTATTCTGCTTATTGAGCCCTTTCATTTGATACCCATATTGATGGGATTGAAAAAACCTACGTTATCCGCCATTTTGTAGCGGCCGCCATCTTGGATTTCAATTTTTTATAGTATATTGTATTCTGCTTGTTGAGCCCTTTCATTTGATACCCATATTGATGGGATTAATAAAACATAAATTATCCGCCATTTTGTAGCGGCGGCCATCTTGAATTTATAATGATAATGAGTAAACATAATTGTATTGTCACCAAAATCCAAAGTGTATACAAAATTTCAGATTAATCGGTTGACAGGAAGAGGGTGAAATTTGAATTACTAAATTTGACCCAAGAATAAAACAAACGGGGTGAGCTAAATAAAACCGTTTAATAAAAACGGGGTGAGCTAAATAAAACCGTTTAAAAAATACGATTGCGGGGTTTGAACCGACAACCGCGGTGATGCGTCGAACGTTGGTCCCGTGGCAAAAATTAACACACTGCACCAATGCTGGAGTGGCAAAATTTGTGTTCATATAGACTCGTAAGGTTTTTTTTTATTACGGAATTTCTTGATACGGTCGCCGCGCTCAAAGCCGGCGATAAAAGCTATACAATAGCTTAAAAGGTCTGTGTTTAAGAAATCTTTGAACATAGAAATCTTTTGCTAAATTATTTAGGTAGGCGTTCGCAAGAAAAGACTTACCTACATCAATGGTCGATGTGGCACTTGGATCATATTATCAAAACTATCTATGGGTTCAGTGTTTCAACCTTTCTTACATTATCCATTACTTACCGTGGTATTAACAGACCACGAGGATTGTCAGTTGTTATCAAAGAGATTTAAAATAAAACATTTTATTAGTACTTTAATGTTTTTAGGTAGGTAATAATGAACTCTAAAGTAGCTAGAACCACTAAGAACCAGCACACCAAACAGAGGAACTCGTGACGGAGATAGGTAGGTATCTTCCTAATTAAGATTTCTCACTCAACATTTAGCTTGCTAATTAGTGACGACGATCGACATTACATTAGATATTTTTAAGGCTCTGTCACTGTACCTCCGAATTTCCCTCTATTTTCCGCTATATCCGAAAAATTAAATTACGATGATTCGGTTCGGTCTGCGATCGTAGAAGTTAGGCAACTTCTGCAATGGCAGGACACAGGATTGGTGGTCAAAAATGTATCTAGAGCTCCTTCGTGCTTCGAATAGATCCCAGCTGCATCGGCATTCAGCAGTCACCTCTTAAAAGCGGAAGTGAATGAGGTAGAAGTGGTAAGTGCGCCCAGCCCAACGTCTCGTGTAACATTTTCAAATAATTATTGTATCAGTTATTTAAACAATAACCCCCTTATTATTAAACGAGGATTAAGCTTAGACTATTTACGCTGTGTTTTGTTCATATCACTCAAATGCCATTTATTAGCATTCAATAGAGAGATACAAAACATAGAGTAATTAATCCAAGTTTATTAGGGGGTTAGTGACTCGCTATGTACGTTTGTCGGGTCTGAGTCTGAACATGACAGGATGTGTCTGGAGAATCCAGATATTTGTGTTGATTCTGGCATGATTCTCTACAATTAAAAATAAATATTAATATCAGTCTCTCCTAATCATTCTGTACAGATAATGAAAAGGATATACAGTTGTCAAATTTAGTTTAGGCGATTTCCCGACCACCTGGGACACTAATAATTAACTATTATTATATATTTGACGACCTCCGTGGTCGAGTGGTTTGTACGCCGGGTTTCATGGTGTCGCCGACTCGAGAGGTCCCGGTTTCGAATCCCGGTGGGGGCAGATGTTTGTGTGATGAATACGACCATTTGTACTCCAGTCATGGATGTTTCATATTGATTTTCTATATAAACATACTTATATATGTACTGTATATGTATTCTATCCGTTACCCTAGTATCCCATAACACAAGCCTTACAGTGCTTACTTTGGGGCTAGGCTAATTGGTGTGAGTGTTGGACATATTTATATTTATATTTATTTATTTTATTTTATATATAGACTAAAATAATTTAAAAATTGATTTGATTTTCCAATAATTTATTTCAGATTTGTTTATCAAGATTGCCAACTCCAGGTCACCCGTGGGCGTGGGATGGGCATAGGTACTACGAGTGCATCCCAGACGTGGACAATAAGCCCAATTGCCCACCGCCTTCGCAACCCCTGCGCCAGGAGCCTTCATCCTGTTCGGAGCCAACTCCGCCTGCTAAGAAATGAGGAAACTGATCACGTACATATCGATTTTCTAAAGATATTTGTGACAGCTTGAATGCAAAAACTAAAATTAAAAAAGTACGTGTTTTTTTTTTATCAAATTAGTACTAAATGTATCCCGCGCTTTTTTCGTATGGAATTTTGTTGTAAAAAATCGTTATGAATTAGGGTCCAGGAAATCAAGCAATTTGGCTCCCAATTTTCTTTGTCCTACATGGATTTATGTACTTGAAATTTTCACAGGTCATAATGAAAAGCCCTAGGATCAAAATCTATATCATGCTGAGGGGCGCTTTTATTCGCGGGGTGGTTGCCACACCATCTCAGGGGAGGCTTCATTTCCTGGACTATAGGTAGTAGGCACCTCAATATCTAGTCTATTTTCCCTCGAATACTTCTAAACTTATTTTGTTGTTTTTATTTATGTAATTATAAATATAAAAATATATATATGTAATTAACATGGGATGATTGTATAGTAGTATATTCCAGCAGACGCGAAGTTTCAGCATATTGTCACATCAGCATTGACTATCCTTACCACGTCAGCCTGCAAAAATGTGTCTTCACTTCGCGCCTCTGCCTATTTTAAAGGCCCCCAGGTTTTAAGACAGGAGGATATATATCGCGATTTGCGAAAATTAGTGCGACAAAGAACAAGATTGTTTAGATTGGTGTTGGGCCACCAACCAGTTGCTACTGAAATTCCATAGTCATTTGGAAAGTCAGTGGCAACGGTGGTAAAACACAATAGCATAGGTAGGTACTTAGATTAGAATGCTCGAAGATGGCGGCCGAAAAATGGAAAAACTACAAAAAATTACCGGGAAAAATACAAGAGAAGTAGTGTTTCTTTACCTGGTGCAACTCTTTAGTTTCTGCATCACCGACGGTCGGTTAGCGCCAGAGAATTCGATTTCATGGGCTCTCTAGTCAATCAAAACTGCTTAAACTAATGTAAATATAAATGATCGACATATGAGCTCTGTAGATACCACAGTGTGTAAACAGAGAACAATTTAGCTCTTTTCGGAAAGATGTGTTAAAAAATCGTTCCTTTTCATGTATAGGAAAAAATGTAAATACAATTACATTTTTCTTCCCATACATGAAAAACATGAAATTTTTCTTAAAAATTCGACTCGCCAAGCAATCTATACATAAAATACCAGAATTTCAGTTCTGTAACTCATTCTGTTTACGATCTCAAGACCCGTAACATACGGACAGACACACAAACAAGTGACACCAATAGGGTTCTTAGCCTTTGCGTACGGAATCCTAAGAAAACATTTTCTACTGCGTGATTTTTCAGTAACATTATCAAAATAATTTTAGTAAAATATAAAAAGTTTTTCTGTAAAAAAATCCTGATAATTTTCATTTTAAATACAGATGCCTACTATTGGTACTTTATTTTTAACACTGTCAAAAACCCAACTTCTTGTGAGAGCTACCATATCTGAAGTTAGTCATTCTATATTTTTGTGTGCAGAATGTTTCTGAGCGCTAGTTCAAAATAAAAATTCTTGACAAGCATGTTTGACGTTGCTTCAAGCCTCATCTGGCGTGCTGCATCTCTAGTCCAGTCATTATGTCGGAAAAATCGGGTTAGAAATGCAAATGAACCGAGAAAGCCAAATTTTGGATATTACGTGGGGGGTGGCTAGAAAAGCTTAAGTTCAAATTGTCGACCAAAAAAACCTTGTGGGTTTTCCGCCATCTTGAAAAAAAGGGTTAAACTCAGTTTTTTTATCATAACTCGGTTCCCCGTCGAGATACGAAAATTTTTATAGAATACTTTTTTGTTGCTCTTTGTACGATCTACAATTAAGGTCCTATACATTTTTCACGTATCGACCATCGTTGTCGAGATATTGATAAAAAAAGCCACAAATTTTGGGAGAAATTTTTTTTTTCGCTATTTGCTTCTTTCTCACGAAAAATACCGAAAAATGTTTCGAATAAAACTTGTAGAGCCTGTTCAGACCTACAAATTCGTTTTTTAATTTTTCATTTTCGAGAAAAATTACGACCTCCAGCGCGCCGCAAAGTCGGCGCCAATGCGCCCGACGCCGGAATGTGCGTCGCGCCATGGCGGACGTGCGACGGTTGGAGTGTCTGCATGGGTCAGGAGGCGTGAGCGTCAGAATGGCCGGTCACTACCCATATTTTACATCGAAATAATTATAGAAAGTTGCTACCTAGTTGCTTCTAGTTGCTACTAATCGTTAAATAGTTGCTACCCCCGATTAAAACAAACTTTTAAGCTTTTTAGGGTGACCAGCCATTCTGACGTCAGAATGGCTGGTCACCTATCCAGTGAGAACAAACTGCGTCACTAAATGGAGATTTTTTTAAAGCAATAGTTGCTACTAGGTTGCTACCTTTATATATATCGTTTTGGACCTCCCAGCTTTTAAGGATAAAGAGTTATAATCAATTGAGCGTTCAGACATTATTAAAACTGAACGCCTGTAGAATTATACGAGCAAATTCGAAATCAAGTGCATAATGGGTATTGCATAAGCAGGCGCTGCGTAATAGAATTTATTGTAAAATTTGTCTACTATACATTATGTAATGTTTTTAGTTGTAATAATATAATGAATAATATTATTATACCGTGCGAAACAAGACAAACTAATTTTAATTTCTGTATTGAGTTATTTTTGTTTGTTTGTAAAAAATATTTCTGATGAAGGTAGCTAAATTTTTACTTTATTATGCAGAACAGTCTACTGTTATTTCTGGTACAATTATCGCATTCAAAGCGTTGTATTGTTTTATTATAGTAAGTTAATACCAATTGTTGAGGAGCTCGATGGCGCTAGCGCATTTTGCTGCGATTGTTGAAATTAAGCAACATTCGCAATGGTCGATCATTGGATGGGTGACCGAAAATCTTCTATCTCGAGTTCCTCCGTGCTTCGAAAGGCACGTTAAGCTATTGGTCCCGGCTGCATCTGCAGTCGTTAGCACCCGCCAATCCGCACTGGGCCCGTGTGGTGGGTCATGGCCCAATCTCCCTATGCCATCCATAGGGAAGACCTGTGCCCCAGCAGTGGGGACATTAATAGGCTGATGACTACCAATTGTGTGACGCCGGGCTGTCGTAGTAGCGAGAAGTTACCGACCCGCACTTATTAGGTGGAGGGTCGAACGGAGGTGTCTTGACGATGGAAGTGGACTGTAGCTGGCGAAATAAAACCACTCAAGATTCGTTGTCGAAGAAAGTTGGTGTGCGCTGGTAACGGATGGCCGGTAAGAAGTCTTCAAGATCTAGGGAGAACCGCTAATTATTCCTTCTTCTTATTAGTAGGAGCGCCGGTCGCTGAATGACATAAACAAATCTCAGTACCAAACAAATCGCACCAGTAAAGTTAGTTTTAAACAATAATCACTATGAATTGATTTCAATTATTGAATTTGTTGCACCTGGATTTGGTGAAATGGGCCATTACAAGGCACATTGCAAACGTGGGAATATATGGCAGTGTTACAACGATCTGAATAATAGAATTACAAAAAGTAATAAGAAAGTAATGTGCTGTATAATATGTTTAAAGAGAAGAAACACAACTTCTTTTTATTAAATTATTATTGTTAGTCAATATTTGTTTTATTTACTGCAATAATGACTTTAAATAAGTTTGGGTATTGCATAAGCAGGAAGTGGCGCCTGTTCAAGCAATACCCATTATGCACTTGATTTCGAATTTGCTCGTATAATTCTACAGGCGTACAGTTTTAATAATGTCTGAAAGCTCAATTGATTATAACTCTTTATCCTTAAAAGCTAGAAGGTCCAAAACGATATATATAAAGGTAAATATATATATAAAAAGCAACCTAGTAGCAACTATTGCTTTAAAAAAAATCTCCATTTAGTTACGCAGATTGTTCTCACTGGATAGGTGACCAGCCATTCTGACGTCAGAATGGCTGGTCACCCTAAAAAGTAGTTTATTTTGTTTTAATCGGGGGTAGCAACTATTTAACGATTAGTAGTAACTAGAAGCAACTAGATAGCAACTTTCTATAATTATTTCGATGTAAAATATATTATACTGCACATTACTTTCTTATTACTTTTTGTAATTCTATTATTCAGATCGTTGTAACACTGCCATATATTCTCACGTTTGCAATGTGCCTTGTAATGGCCCATTTCACCAAATCCAGGTGCAACAAATTCAATAATTGAAATCAATTCATAGTGATTATTGTTTAAAACTAACTTTACTGGTGCGATTTGTTTGGTACTGAGATTTGTTTATGACATTCAGCGACCGGCGCTCCTACTAATAAGAAGAAGGAATAATTAGAGGTTCTCCCTGGATCTTGAAGACTTCTTACCGGCCATCCGTTACCAGCGCACACCGACTTTCTTCGACAACGAATCTTGAGTGGTTTTATTTCGCCAGCTACTTCACGTCCACTTCCATCGTCAAGACACCTCCGTTCGACCCTCCACCTAATAAGTGCGGGTCGGTAACTTCTCACTACTACGACAGCCTGGCGTCCCGCACAATTGGTATTCATCATCATCATCATCATCAGCCTATTAACCTCCCCACTGCTGGAGCACAGGCCTTCCCTATGGATAGCATAGGGAGATTGGGTCATGACCCACCACACGGGCCCAGTGCGGATTGGCGGGTGCTAACGACTGCAGATGCAGCCGGGACTAATAGCTTAACGTGCCTTTCGAAGCACGGAGGAACTCGAGATAGAAGATTTTCGGTCACCCATCCAATGATCGACCATTGCGAATGTTGTTTAACTTCAACAATCGCAGTCAAATGCGCCATCGAGCTCCTCAACAATTGGTATTAATTTACTATAATAAAACAATACAAACATTGAATGCGATAATTGTACCAGAAATAAAAGTAGACTGTTCTGCATAATAAAGTAAAAATTTACCTACCCTCATCAGAAATATTTATTACAAATAAACAAAAATAACTCAATACAGAAATTAACATTATTTTGCCTTGTTTCGCACGGTAAAATAATATTATTCATTATATTATTACAATTAAAAACATACATTACATAATGTATAGTAGACAACTTTTAAAATAAATTCTATTACGCAGCGCCTGCTTATGTAATACCCATTATGCACTTGATTTCGAATTTGCTCGTATAATTCTACAGGCGTTCAGTTTTAATAATGTCTGAACGCTCAATTGATTATAACTCTTTATCCTTAAAAGCTGGGAGGTCCAAAACGATATATATAAAGGTAGCAACCTAGTAGCAACTATTGCTTTAAAAAAATCTCCATTTAGTGACGCAGTTTGTTCTCACTGGATAGGTGACCAGCCATTCTGACGTCAGAATGGCTGGTCACCCTAAAAAGCTTAAAAGTTTGTTTTAATCGGGGGTAGCAACTATTTAACGATTAGTAGCAACTAGAAGCAACTAGGTAGCAACTTTCTTTAATTATTTCGATGTAAAATATGGGTAGTGACCGGCCATTCTGACGCTCACCAGGAGGCCTACTCTATTTCAACGAAAAACGAAATTTCGATCGAAATATCGCACGTTCCTTACTCTGTTTCTATTTCATTTCGAAAATTCGTTCGTCGTTCGTAATTCTGTAGTGGACAGACATGCGACAATGTCGCCAAAGTCGAGATATTACTCAATGACGATCACGATGATGAAGATTACGATTTTTCGACCGTCACAGCATCATTTCCTGCGATTGAAGAATTTACCCGACTCGAAGAGTGTACCGAGGAGGAACTTCAACAGCAGCCAGGACCATCAAAACGAAGAAAAACGTGTGACAAAAATGACCACGTGTAAGATTATTATTTTTGCTGCATAAACATTTTTTGATTAATAAATTTCATGTGTTTGATTTATAATTTGGCTGGATTATTCATTTATTTTGTATAGCAATAAAACCCTTAACCAATAATTAATCAATTTTTACGTTGTGGATACAACCGTGCGAGCGGCTAAATCGAAACCGGGCACAGTCTTACTCACTTTGCGGCGCGCTGGAGGTCGTAATTTTTCTCGAAAATTAAAAATTAAAAAACGAATTTGTAGGTCTGAACAGGCTCTACAAGTTTTATTCGAAACATTTTTCGATATTTTTCGCGAGAAAGAAGGAAATAGCGAAAAAAAAATTTCTCCCAAAATTTGTGGCTTTTTTTATCGATATCTCGATAACGATGGTCGATACGCGAAAAATGTATAGGACCTTAATTGTAGATCGTACAAAGAGCAACAAAAAAGTATTCCATAAAATTTTTCGTATCTCGACGGGGAACCGAGTTATGATAAAAAAACTGAGTTTAACCCTTTTTTCAAGATGGCGGAAAACCCACAAGGTTTTTTTGGTCGACAATTTGAACTTAAGCTTTTCTAGCCACCCCCCACGTAATATCCAAAATTTGGCTTTCTCGGTTCATTTGCATTTCCAAATGTATATAATGACTGGACTACTCATCAAGTTTGACATGCCTGTCGAACAATTAACAACAACACCACTAAGAACGAAATTTGACCACACAATTTTGATTGTCTAGGAACCCCATAAGCTCGATATCGACGCGTTAAAGCAAACTGATACTATATTTACAACAAAATATAGGTATATAGGTATCTTAACTTGGACGAATAAACTTCAACGATTTATAAATAAAAATATTTTTAGTCAAATAAGATAGGCATGAACTCCTCCAACTTGGAGGAGTTTGTGGCGGACACGAATTAAACTAAATTAACGCCACTGTTCAAATTAAAAGGTCACGCACGTGTAAGCAAGTTTACAGAGTTTGTGCGTGCCATCCGACACTTCAATCATTTCGTGTGGTCAGTAAGTTTAGATTGTTAATTAACATGTGAAAGTTAATTTATTATTCTCAGCAAGCAATCACTGCTTACTTTTATATCAGGAAGTGTACACTTCAAATTTAATGATTTATTTTAACGACTCAATTTAATTTAAATGCTTCGCTAAGCCAGGTCGGGTTGTTTGTTTTTTTTTTTATTTCAAAGAAAGCATCAATTTTAAACAAACATGACTTAATAATTGCACTTACCTGAGTGCGGCAAGATATTTTCATGGACGTAGTCATTACATAAATGACTGTGTATTTTGC